AACAAAAATTCTTAAATTTTTCATTCTTATTACTGTTTATTTTGTACGATCATAAACCTTGTGCCTATGATAACATTATTATTAGTTAGTACGACCAAAACGAAAATATGTTTCTGCATGTAAGTATATGTGTGTTATGCATATGTGAATAAGCATTTACGTATATTGAGTATATGTACTGGATATCTATGATGCGTATATGTATGTATGTACATATGTGTGTACATGTATATGTATGTATGTATGTATGTATGTGTTTTTGTATATATGTGGGTATATTTTTTGCAAATGACAGGTAAGATCTCCCAAGGTGATATATATATATATATATATCAAGTGAACCACATGATTATGTAAAACAACTGGGGTAGGACTCTATAAGCTTTTTAAACTTCATCCTCCTCCTTTTGAGCACCAGGTCCCAAATATGTTTATGTACATATCACTATTTTTGTTATTGTTTTTGAATTTTGTTGTACCTGGCTCAAACAATAAATAAATCAAAATGAAATGAAATAAGTTAGATGTGCCCTCTGTGGTGTGACCTAATTCTAAAGTGTGTCTGGACGTGAATAGCGTGGTCATAAATGTATCTCGTGTGTTTCAGTACATACCGCCTTAAATGGAAGTAAATATACACTCTCTGGAGCCTCTTTATCCGACCACAAGTGCTGCAGATAAAATGTGATTTTCAACATTAAATGGCAGCACTTTATTTTATATTACCTTCTGCCCTTATATCTGTGTAATCCCTCAGTGAAAATTAAATACATAAATAAATAATAAACTAAAAAGTGGAATGTACCGCCCACCTCTGCAAATACCAAATATAATTGTTCCCGTACTATTTAGGTATGGAAATAGGATGGCCATGACAGTTTTTATGCAAATTTTAACAGGAGAAAAATTCAAATTTGCAGTAAGCCGGTCTAATCGTCAGTCATAACCAAATAATAGTTTAACAAGTTCATGGGAACTGAGAGAGAGAGAGAGGCCCGTTTCTGAAGAGTACAGCAAAATGGCGGCTTTTCGTTCTCCCTTTCTCTGCTCACTTCCTCTGTTTACAAAGGGGATCATAAAAAGTGCACTTCACATCAATGAAGCAACCACGCCTTCACACACACACACACACACACACATGCACACACACAAACACATGCACATACGGTTTTCCCAGTCTTTTCAAGTACTCTTTATGGGCCCTGGAGTGTGCAATCAAACGGTCTAACAACACAAGGACAGGAGCCAGATTTAATGAACAATCTAACATCCAAAGGCTTTGAAATGACTGAGTAGCAGGTTGTTTATGCGATTCCATAAAAGTCCAAGTTTACAAGTTTGTTTTGCTGGTTTAAACATACTCCACACCCTTCAATTCCACCACGTTTCTCTGGCCAAGTTTATTTTTACACAATAAGAGATGCCAAAAAAGGAGTGCTCAAATGTGGTGTACAAATAAACAGAAGCAGCATGTGTTAGGGGCTGTTTTAAGCCAGCTTTAATACATGTGTGCCAGGTATTTCTCATTTGTAGTGTGATACAAAAGCCTCAGCCGGGAGCCTGTCAGGAGAATGGAGATGCGTGTTATGTAAGGGCCACATACAGAGTTGAACAATACATCACAGCACTCTCAGTCAGTACATGTAGTAAAAGAAAGATAGTACAGAAATACATGTGTAAGTGATTACTTCTGCTATTCGTGCTATTACGATCACAAAAGAAAATACATAAAAACTACTAGTGTTGCAATGAGAAGTTAATCTTGCACAGCAAGATGAGTAAGAATCCATCTTGTTTGGCTCCATTTTAAGTGTTTGACTTTGACAGGTGCCTGACCAATCACAGAGCAGCACTGTGATTTGTGCAAAAGCCAGCGCAAACTAACCAAAACAAAAATGGAAACACTGACAAACATACTTTAGCATATATTAGCAGAAATACAGACTATTGTGTTTTTGAACAATGTGCAGAGGTAAGGCCTGTGGATCTGTGGATGGGTAAGATACGTGCGCTTTTTTTCTTGACTGGATTTAACTAAATATACAGTTAACTAACACTTAACTAAAGACACTTTTTGTCTTGTTCTGCTGTTGTGACACTTTGCTCAATCAGCATCAAGTCTTTGTTAAGAACACTCAGATCATTGGTTCCGAGCACTTTCAATGAGAGCCATCCCAGACTCATGTGTAGAATCATTTCAGAGCACTACACATATTAATCTGTCAACATCCAGGTTAACAAGAAGTATCACTCCTCTTAGTACTATTACTTGTACTGCTTCTGCTAGCACTAGCATGCTTTCAATTACTACTACTGCAAAATGGACAACTACTATAGATATTACTCATACTTCCACTGTGACAACTCTGTGTCAATATTTGAGCCACCTTAAAGCTGCACTACGTTACATTTCTGGTGGAGGGTCTGCCACCCGCTTGTCTCCAGGGAGAGGTGATTGCTTTGCCTGAATGTTCCATAGCTCTTAAAAAAACACTTGGTTATGACTGAATAAATACAAGATAGATATGTTTTATATCATACTGTGTAACATTCAAGGCAAAGCAATAACAGCTCCATAGAGATAAGCAGCTAATAATAATAATAATAAAATAATAATAATAATAATAATAATAATAATAATGCATTAGTCATATGTAGGGCTTTCCCAGACGCTCAGAGTCTCTTTACACTTTGGTGGATTATTCATTCACTCCACCTTCAGTGGTTTTAAACTGCTATTGTAGCCACAGCTAAAGGAGACTGCCAATCTGCCCTTTCATCAGCTTTCATACTAGGCAATGTTAGTAAAGTGTCTTGCCTAAGGACACAACAAGAGTTTTCTGCCACTGGCGCCCCACTATGGCACCTGATTTTCCCAGCGGTTTCCCAGCAAATTCACTTTTAAATAGGAATAAAAAAACATCACATTCATATAAATCTTTTCCACCTTCAGGCACTCACAGCGCTTTACATCAAAGAACCAGGCACCCATTCACACGCACATTCATACACCAGTGTATGCAGACACTGGGGGCAAGGTGGGTTAAGTGTCTTGCCCAAGGACACAACAACAGCATTCATCTGTGGGATCTGGAATCACAACTGGGCAAATACTCTACCAACTGATCTTGTGCCGCCCCTAATGTCACCTTATGCTTTTAAATACCTCGTGGAAACCCTGTATGATATATATCGTTTATGTATGTGTATATATATATATATGTATGATGCAATAAACATATGCAATACATTCTCAGTTACCTCAGGCTAAGTGAAAATTTACGGCAAATATTTACTGCATAGACTCTGGAGTATATTTTGGAGACACAGATCTTGAAATAGAAGCTCATAAAGATTATTGCTTGTCCAGTATTTAGTGTGGGACTTCTCATATGTCCGGCCTCAGCAGCACAGGGGAACCAGGGCAGGCAAGTGAGTGCATTGTGGAGGTTCTGAGCTTCCATAGAATAAGAAAAACTTGGATGTGTCGTCTATCTGCAGGTTAAGGCTCTGGAGAAACAGGTTCAAATGTGATTGTAGCACCTTTCTTAAAACTGTAAGAGTGCAGGATATGTACAGTTCCTTTAAAAGATAACTCGAACCACAATCAGAATACCTCCAAATGCAATAAGATATTTACATAACATATTTACGTAACTGTCCTGACGCACTACAGCCAGCGCGTCGAGCCTTTGTCAAAGATGCACAGTCGCGTCTCACTTGGGTCAGATCCAGAGCTTGAGAATGTTCATTTAGCTGTTGAGTTAGTTGCGCAGTCATGGACGAGGAGCACAGGCGCGTCCTTGTTAGCGGCCAGAGGAAGTGTCCCCTCACAGAATGTCAACGGAGCCAGTGGAGCAGAAGCAGAACACAGTGTCCCCAAGCCCAGCACTGAGGAGTGGGCGTGTGGGCCAGTGGGCTTAGGTAGACCCCACAAAGGAAAGAATACGTGTGGGAAATGACAATTTTTTAGGTTGATAATACAGTTTTTTTTTATTTGTTAAGAAGTGAAATGTACTGGTTGAGGTTCAAGTATTGTGCACTGTAAAATTAACCACAAAAGTGCAAAAATATCACATTATAGCCTTTGGAAAATATGTTTGCGTTCTTTTTGTATTTTTAAAACTTTTGCAAAAATGAATATGGATTGTCATAACTAGTTGAGCACTAAAACAAATGTTGACTAATTTGATTATCTGGACTATAACATGTGCCAATATGTCTATGAAAACAAGCAATAAAGATAACAATTCTGAATAAAAATGACACAAGAACAATATATATTTGTGTTTTTTAAAGAAAAATACTAATTTGGCACATTTTACCTTCAACTCTTTTAAAAATCTCCAAACAATGTGAGCCATGATCACTTGACTAGATGACTAACTGAAAAAATAATTGCTGACTATCTTCAAAACACCAAAATCTGTGTTTATTTTTCATTAATTATACACTGTCAAACAAAACTGTGTAACTTCCTAAGAATGGCACACACCTGCATGATTCCATGGAAATAGAAAGTTAAAACTGGACTCAAAATAGTGAACATTCTCCACAGAGATAAAAAAGTTTTATGTCACACTGTGGAATATTACAGCCAGCAGTTCCATGGAAACACGCAGGAAGAGGTCCTCCCTCCTTCAGACCAAATAAGAGTCAGGTTTGTGGAGATGCAAGTCCACCCGCAGTAAGGACGGATGTTTTTCCAAGTTTGTCAGTGTAAATATACAATAAAACGGTTGCTAATTTTGACTAATTTTGGATTAAACTACAACACTTTCAACAAAAATCAGGCACTCATAAATGACAACACAAAATAGGCCTTCATTCACACGTGACAGAAACAACAGCAGCTATGTAGTAAACTCTGCCGCCCCCTGTTGACCTAACTATGAACTGCTATTACTTATTCCATATTACACAAGCAAGGATAAGTATAGGTATTTTATGAGTAACTGAATACTTGCATGTAAACAAATATGATGTGGCATTTATCTTGCGCTGTCCAGAGAATTTTGGGATGTCTCCAGTTGTCTCTTGAGCTCTGAAACCTGCCTTTCCATGTGGTTGACCTCAGCCGACATTTGTCTACAAAAATATGAGCAATTTTCACTTCTTAAAGCATGTGCAGATGTGTAATATGTTCAAAAATAGTATCATTTAAAGGTCCTATAATACATAAAATTGACTCCTATGAGCTTTAAGCTGCTAGAATGTTGTTACTTCCTCAAAAACAGACCTGGAGTTGGCTTTTATTTCATTCATTCATTACATGTTTGAGTAATGCTCTGCTCCACCTTGTGATGTCATGTAGTGGTAGTTTTCAGGTTAATAGCTACCTTTTACCTTTTAGTGCAGTAGAGATTAATAGAGGCAATTCCAGGGCTGAAATTATACAAATTTGTCTAGACAGTGGAGCACATCCTGTATTACCACATGACATCACAAAGTGGAACAGATCTGTTTGTGAGGAGAAAATATCATTATTACATAGATCAGAAAATAGAGCAATATGGGCCTTTTAAAACTGGAGTCCAGAATTATATATGCATTAGGTAACTTTTCTGGTGAGCGTCTGCCACCGGCTTGTTTCCATGGAGACAAGCCATTGCTTTGCTTGAATGTTCCACAGCATGGCAAAGCTGCAGAATGCATGATTTTATTTTTGAGCAACTTATAGACAAGTTGTAAAGGCCCCTGCCCTCCATCCAAAATGATGACATTAAATATTAGAATATCTGTAATATGGGTGAGTACTGAGTAGTGACCTGTGAACAGACTGTGCTTTGCTCAGCTGGCAGTGGAGACGCTTCACAATGGCCTCATAACGTCGGTTCTGAATCTGAAAAGCACACAATATTATGAGCAACGCTCTTTATCAAAATACTGTCAGTACAAAGCTGCAATAAATGTGAAATGTGCATTATATGGCTCCTTCTTAATTAAAGAAACAATGTTTCAGGTGACATGTCACCTGCATGATTCCATAGAAACAAAAAGCCACACTTCAGAACATTTTCCATGGAGATAAGTTTTATGCCATAATGTGGAACATAATAACCAAAAGGAACAAGCAGGAGGCCTTTTTCCAGTATAAGTCAGGTTTGTGAAAATGCAAACCCGTTTTGGTTCAAGAATGCAAATTTTTCTTCTTCTTCAATGTTATAAATCAACATTCAAAGAGGAAAAACACCTTTTATTCTATTCTTTGGTAAAAGGTTACATGGCAGGGCTTTAAGTAAACATTAGAACAGATGAGTTGTGTGAGCGCCATCAGTGGTACCACAGTTTAAGAAACACTGGTCTAATATTTGCTACAGTACCCTTTGTACTACCTGCTCAGCCTGCCTCATCAGCACGCCTAGATCTTTCATATCAGATGCGTTTTGAACAGCACAGTGGTGAGATGTGTACAATAATAATATTTAGATCTCTATGACCTCAGACCTCTATGTCTTTCTTGATGTCGTGGTGCATCTCTGCTTCCTTCCTCAGTTTATTTCTCTTCTCAGCTAAGGTCTTTTTCTTTGCAATGATCTGCTCTTTCAAAGCACTGGTTTCCCTCTGCAGGAGAAACAAACCACAATCAAGGTTACACAGCACATCTAAACGAATATTTTACAATACCACGTGTAAGTGAGGAATAACTTTAGACCACTGCAAACAGTTTAAAATTAAATAGTTCTGTTTTTCATGTTGTTAGACAAAAAAAATCTGATATATCGCCTTTAATGTTAAACAATTGAAACTTCTTGAATAGCTTGGCGCACATGGACCCAAATTTGAATACCTTTGCCATCTGCACAGCATTCCCACTGGGGTTCTCCAAATCTTCCCTTAGTTCTTCTTTCTTCCTCTTTAACATCCTGACACCTGCCTGTCTCTTCTCCAGCTCCTTTGTGGGCCTGCGTCTGACTCACCGCTAACTCGACCGCCACTCTGTGCTCCTCCATCTTGGCCCGGTATGAATGGTACAGGGCCAGGGCAGCGGACACCTTCTCCTGCTCCTCTCTGATGAGGCTCTCGAGCTCTGCGTTCTCCTGGGAGATGGCGGTGCAGCGCTGGAGGAGGTCCTGTGTGTGCTGTTCTAGATGTTCCGAGTCGGTCTCCAAAGTCAGGATCTGCCTCACTTTGGACCGCAGCTCAATCTCCACTTGTTTGGTTTGGTTCTCGGCATCAGATAAGGACGCCTACAAGAAAGACATGCAAAGAAGATATATTATGCTTGTGTCTGGTAAATAGTCAGAATCTGATGACATGACACCCGTGGATCATTGTGTTAGAATTTGAAGAGTAGACATTTTATTGATCTAAAACAACTAAACAAAAGGAAACAAGTAAGATGACTTCAACATTAGCAACTGCTGTGCCCAGAGAGAGCTGGCGTCACCATGAACGTCATCACATCAAAGGGCCATGCAGCATTTTTTTCATTTGTACCAGAAAGCTGCAAAATCCTACATGTATCATTAATGAAGAAAATCAAACTGGAGCAGTAAGCGCATTGCAGTGAGGTTACCCGTGGAGATGAAAACGGGTTGATCGCCGAAACCCCTAGAAAATAACATAGCTCAAACATGTACAAATCACTCCAAACACAACTTCAGCAGGTAAATGAGAAGGAAAAAACTATAACATGGTTAAAAGCTTTGAAAAGTTGATTTTGCAGAATAGGTTTGCTTTAGAAACATGCTGCAACATACAGCATGAAATATCTTTACTCCTAAATGTAAAACACTAAATGTGGGGAGTAATGAGTACTTGAGTAGTTTTATTACAGTATACTTTTACGGTTACTTGAGCAGAGGTGATAGCAAGCAGAAATTGTACAGGGGTGAGCAATTTTTTTTTTCCATGGGGCCACATGAGAAACAGAAAATACTGTGGAGGACTGGGCCAAAATGGTTAATTCAATTCTGCATAATATTCATTGTATTTCTTTATAAAAAGCAATAAATGTTTGTTTTTAACAAGCTGGTCAGACTGGTAAGAGTTTATGTTATGACTAAGCAATGAAAAAGTGAGGGTGCCTTACAAAAAATGTAATAAAAAAACACCTTGAAAATAAAAGCAATGCAGCTTTAGTCCATGCATGAGGTAAAATGATAAAATATGTTTATTTTGTAATTCAAAATTAGCTTAAACAGGATGGTCAGAACCAACCAAAGGACTGTATATGGCCTCAAAGATGTACAATGCCCAGGACTGGGTTAGAATAATGTTACTTCAAAATAATATTACTCAACTAGAAATACAAACTACATCTCTACATCAAGTTGATATTAAAAGACAAAATGTTCACTGTTAAATGATAAAATGATTAAACCTCTAGGGTCTGCAGAACTTTTTGTTTGTCTTTCAGAGCCTCTGTCTGGGCAAAGCTGTGCTGGCTCACATCTTCCACCACTTTGGACAACGTGAACTCACAGTCCTGAGAACCTAGGGAAACACAAAACATGAATACAACAGTAGTAATTACTAGGGGTGGCCAGATTTTCAAAATAAAAAACTGGGACAATCCTTGTTTGGGTTGGTTGGAGTAATACAATTGTGAAACAAGTGCGTAATTAAGGAAAATTGCTCTGCACTCAGCACTAATGTGAGTCAGTGTAGTCATATTTCCTTTGTGTTTCAGTCATTTTTAAGCAGCTTTTTCTATATTTCAACTAAGCAAAACAATTTATTCATTTGACAATTTATGCCTCTCAATTTATGTCACTCTTTACTGTTGGCAGGAATCAGACTGGACAAAAATAGGGACACCTGGGACATTTCTTGTATAAAACTGGGACAAATCACTGGTTTTGTATAAATCTGCTGGGACAGGGGACACAGGACTCAAAACTGGGACTGTTCCGTGTAAATGGGGACGTCTGGCCTCCCAAGTTCGTACATTAAAACAAATAAACACATTAATAGCAATATAAATATTAATAATAAACAAACGTACTAGGCGTACTAGTACTAGATGTACTTTTTAACGTGACACTGCCTGAATTTAAGCTAGCTATGTCATTAACTCAATATATATATATTTTTTTCTGAAATCTATCCTCGTCTAAAAGTACTTTACATTTTAAAATTAAATATCACCTACCGTTTTCCACTGACATTTTTGTTAAAACTCACATTTATAAAACAAAATCGTCAGTGGGTTTTTAGCATAGACCATGCTATGGCATAGACTAATAGAAATGAGATAGAAATGTAATATTAGTAAGATTTGTGTTGATGTTGAACTCATTTAATTTGAATATCTTCAATCAAAAATAATTACCAAATTAATAATTAATCAAAATACAATAAAAATAATCAATAAAAAAAAGAAAAATAATAATAAATCGACGTAGTAGTTAAAACCAGACACTACAATTCCCAAAAGCCTTTGCGACGTCACAGGCTGCACTGCTTCCGGGGTTATGCAGGTCACGTACTGCATAACCAAAACAGAGCAAGCGTGTTCTCATTTTCTGGTTATTTAAGCTGTTAAACTCATCTTTTAAATGAATTTTCTGTTAAATCTCTTGTAAATTAAATGTATCCAAATGCTAGTGCACCGCTGGTTTCGGTTGCACGCGTTTTGTAGAAGTTTACGTGAAAGAGGAGAAGGATGGAGGACACTCTGTGGAGATGTGACCGCTGTAAAACACGCCAGAGCCCGGGTAAACTCTCCACCCGGTCGGCGGTTCTGTCACGGGGCTCTGGGGGACCTGTACCGTAACGCGTCCGTGCAGAGGTACATCCGACAGCTCATGGAGGAGTTCAGGAGCCTGGATGAGAGGCTCCAGCGGGCTTCTCTCACCGAGGCAGACAGGCGCGCCATGGTCCAGAAACATACCGAGCTCCTCCCGCTGGCGACGGCGTGGAGGAGCGTGGAACAGGCTCTGAAAGATCACGAGGAGTTGTTGTCTTTACTACAAAGTGAGTCTAGAGTAGTTTATTACAGTGTTTACTTAGCACAGATCAGGTCTATACTGAGACTGTGGTGGCACAGGTATCCATATTTGATCAATTTTACTTTTAGGTCCTATATTACGCAAAATTGTGAGCTTTAAGTCATGTTACAATGTTGTTACCTCCTCAAAAACATACTTGAACTTGTATGTTAGTAGGTTATTTTTTTGAGACCAGAAGTTTTTCATACTTGACAGACTGCTCACTGGTGAAGACTTGAAGACTAGCAACAAAACACAAAGCAGAACAGGAACAACAAAATCTGGCATTTTTGACCACTGTAAAAGACATAACCACTTTATGGACCGAGACACAGCAAATATCATTGGGACAAAGGACAACAAACATCATCACTGGATTAAAGAGGCAATCGAAATACAGAAACGTGTCCACAAGACGATAAACCCTGACAATGGGGCTTTTTACTCTCACACACCCGGGATACTGTCCTGAGGAAGACAGATTGCAGCTGGCGCTGTCGTCCTGCCTCCACCAGTAGGATGACAGTGCCAAAACCTTTATAAATCAGCTGACTAGACATGCCACAGCAACGTCACCTGATCGAAAAAAAAAGACTAGTGAGCATTCAAAATTGTCAGGTATGAAAACAAAGTCTTGGTCTGAAAAAAGAACCTAATAAAATAAGTTATCGGAAGACCAAATTAACGTCATTGGCTTATACTTGGAGATATGTTTTGTTTCATTCACACATGTTGAGTAACCCTTCATTATTAGTCTGTCTACGTCTCCAAAGATCAAAATGCTCTGTTCCACCTTATGATGTCATGTAGTCTTCAAGTTAACACCTACCTTTTACCTATAGTTCAGTAGAGATTTGCAATTCCAGGGATAAAATTATCCAAATGATTTAAGTGAAGGTGTATGGAGTCTAAAAACTCACAGGAGTATTACCACATGACATCACAAGGTGGAAAATAGTGTTTTTGGTTTGAGAGAAGCACTCAGCCTAAATATGCAGGATTTGTGTTTGAACATGTGTGAAAGAAACGAAAAACATCTCCAGGTCTGTTAGTGATGAGGAAACAACATACAGTCCCTGACAAAAGTCTTGTCGCTTATCCATTTTGTAGAAACAAAAGCTTATAACCTGACTTTAAATTAATCGATTGGTTTTAGAAATGTCTCATATGAAAGCTAAAACCCTCCCAAATTATGCTCAATATACTAAAATAAATTTGCTTCACTGAAGAAAGATTGATCATTTAATGAACACAGAAAGGTCAGATTTTGGCAAGACAAAAGTCTTGTGGCCTTGTCATATGATGCACCCAATCCTAGATTACAGCCTCACCTGTGATCAGTTACTGATCAATCAATTAGTGGGTGTGTATAAAAAGAAGCCCAGCACACCAGACCTTCACATCAACTGCAACTTGACCTCTGACAACATGCCTAAGATCCACCCTGAGACCAAAGCGTTAATTATCAAGAGGCTGAAGACCAGATCCACTGCTGAGGTGGTGACACCTTCAATGTGTCTCAGCGTCAAGTACAAAGAATAAGAAAAAGATCTGAAATGACTGGAGATGTTTTTGACAAGCCCAGGTCCGGCAGACCCCGCAAGACAACTGCTCGGGAGGACCGTTTGTTGATTCGAAAATCCAAGGCCAGCCCCTTTTCCACTGCAGCAGACTCCACCAGGCCTGGTCACCTCAAGTCCCTGTGTCAACCACAACAGTTTGTAGAATTCTGTCTCGAAATGGCCTCCATGGTCGAATCAGTGCACAGAAACCAGCACTAAACAAAAGGCAATTAAAAAACTGTGTGGCATTTGCCAAGGCCCACAGCCTGATAAAAGGATGGACACTGGAAAAGTGTCAGAAGGTGGATTTCTCAGATGAATCCTCGGTTGAATTACATCACAGCCACCGCAAATATTGCAGGAGACCTACTGGAGCCACATGGATCCAAGATTCACTCAGAAAACAGTTAAGTTTGGCGGCGGAAAAATCCTGGTCTGGGGTTACATCCAGTATGGGTTTGTGCGAGACATTTGCAGGGTGGAAGGCAAATATCAATCAGTGTTGGGAGTAACGCGTTATAAAAGTAACGAATTACAGTAATGCATTACTTTTTGCTGTAACGCAGTAATGTTCGGCATTACAGGGGAAAAAATTTTAATATTTTACTCGGTACAAATGTGAGTAATGTGCGTTACAATGTTTGTTTTTTTACCTGGACTGAAGTGGTGTTTTTTCTTCATACAAATTCGCTAAAATCACCTCGATATCAGCAGCGGTGAAACGCCGGAGATGCTCCTCATAGACCTTCAGGTAACCGCGGGCGAAAGGACTGACAAAGAACTCCACGCTGTTTAGACCTGGTTCAGACCTGGTTTAGGCCTGGTTTACACTCGTCCCTCCCTCTATCGCAGTTCACTTTTCGCGGTCTCGCAGATTTTTTTTTTTTTTGTGTGCAATTTTGCATGCCCTTTTTTTTTTTACATTGTATGAATGTGTATTGCGTTCCTCCCGCTGCGTCCTGACTGGTCAAGGGACTCCTGTCTCCTGTACAGTACAGTACAGAATGTGTTCAGCTGCCAAATTTAAATACATGTTCAATCTCTAGCAGTGTGATTCTGAAGTGCTGTACGGTTGTAAGTTTTCTCCCCGACGAAACCCACAACGTCGACGAAACGTTCTGCACCGACAAAGGCTCCTGCGCTCGCACCCAAAAGGCAGAGGAAGATGCTAACATCACACAAAAAGTTGGACTTCTGGAGACGCTGAAGGAAGGTAGAAGTTACGCGCTGTAACAGACTCTTGCACCGGCTCGGGTACCTGCAAATAGTTGCTGAAATCAGGGCCGCGAGCCCGAGCAGCAGGGTGACAGCCGCTCTTACCTCCGTGAGGTGCGGAGCAGAGCCGCTCCTTTCTCCTGCGGTCACCTTCGAGCCCTTCCCTACAGTGAGTCCTGTTTTAGTCCTGGTTCACTTCTGGTTTAGTCCTGGTTCAGCTCTGGTTTAGTCCTGGTTTAGACCTGGTTTAGTCCTGGTTCAGTCCATATACAGTGCAAAAGTTATTTTGGTGAGAGTAACTTAAAGTAATGCAATAGTAATGCCTTACATTTTAAATGCAGTAATATTGTAATGTAAGGAATTACTTTGAAATGACAGTAATAGGTAATAAATAACGCATTACAGTTTCAAAGTAACTTGCCCAACAGTGATATCAATAGCCTAAAATATCAAGAAGTATTAACTACCTCTTACATTCCCAACCATAAAAGGGGTCAAATTTTGCAGCAGGATGGTGCTCCATCACATACTTCTATCTCTACATCAAAGTTTCTCAAGGCGAAGAAGATCAAGGTGCTCCAGGACTGGCCAGCCCAGTCACCAGACATGAACATCATTGAGCAGGTCTGGGGTAGAATGAAAGAGGAAGCATGGAAGACAAAACCCAAGAATCTTGATGAACTCTGGGAGGCATGTAAGATGCTTTCTTTGCTATTCCTGATGACTTCATCAACAAATTGTATGAATCATTGTTGAACCACATGGATGCGTCCTTCAAGCTCATGGACGTCATACAAGATATTAAATATGGATCTCACAGCACCACTACTTCATTCACTGACGTTATGCAACATATTTTTGTATTTGAAGTAAATTATTTGTTAAATTTTCTGTAGGCGACAAGACTTTTGTCTTGCCAAAATCTGACCTTTCTGTGTTCATTAAATGATCAATCTTTCTTCAGCGAAGCAAATTTATTTTAGTATATTGAGCATAATTTGGGAGGGTTTTAGCTTTCATATGAGACATTTCTAAAACCAATCGATTAATTTAAAGTCAGGTTATAAGCTTTTGTTTCAACAAAATGGATAAGGGACAAGACTTTTGACAGGGACTGTATAATAGCATAATATGGGTTCTTTAAACCTCGATTTTATGGTTTGCAGGTACCAAAGATGAAGATGTGCAGATGAGAGAGCTGTTGAAGGAGGAGGAGGCACTTTTGTCTCAGAGGATTGTAGACATGAGAAAAGATGTAAGTTTCATCATGGGTAACATTATGATGAATTAAGATGAGCTGTGCAATATGGCAAAATCAAAGCTGTTCTTAAAGGGGACAATGTTATGACAATGCTCCCTCAACATTAGCTCACTTAAAGTTGTTTTTTGTTGAATTCCTGCATGTTTGAGTAACCCTGCATTGTCTTAATGACCTAGACAATCAATATTCATTATTAGAAATATGCTAAATTATAATATTAAGGATACAGAGTAAAAACCGAGAACGTAGAACACACTAGGGTTGTCAGAAGTATATCTGATGCAGTAGATTCTAAAACTAGTATTGAAATGAGATACTTATTTGAGCAGGTAAGTCACATTGACAGACAGAAATGAACCTTTCCTAAATAGCTTTAGAATGATGTTGAGCTGTATCAGAACAAGTATAAGAGCACATAGATTTGTATACACCCATGGACCACTATGGAACCAACCTGGACCACTGAGGGATTAGTTTTTTGACAGTGTTTGCCAATGTGTGCACAGTGTCTCCCTGGTAACTGCTGAACATTCCACCATAGAGATACAAGTATCAATTGGCCTGTCAGTTTTAGGTTAATATAGCTCTTTGATTGCAAAATAATAGTCTAATACTCGAAAGCATAATGTGATGAAGTGGCTGTAAACAGACTCCCTTTCCCTGTAGATGGTAAAGACCATAGTCCCCTGTGACCCTCTGGACTCCAGTGATGTTATATTAGAGGTGGTGTCAGGACGCACCACAGGAGGTCAGTCACACACAGGACATTCACACGAGTTTAGTGTAAAAGTGTGAAACAAGCTCACTCAGTTTTCTGTGTCGTCCAGGGGACATCTGCCAACAGTTCACCAGAGAAATGTTTGACATGTACCAGGGATACGCCCACCACAAGAACTGGGATTTTGAGCTGTTCAACTACACACCTTCAGATTATGGTAAACTGTCATTTCATACACATGTCAATGTTAATATATTAAAAACTATTTTAACTAAGGCCCACAACTTGTAAAATCTGTGCATAAATTAACTTTTCACTTTTGTTTTAAAAAAGAGGTAAAAATTGCAGTAAATTAATGTATTAATGAGAGATTTATCATTTTTGAGTAAACATACAGTCACCTTAGCTTCATTGCTCTACTTTGTCCATTGTAACTCACTAGACCGAGACACATCTAATGTACCTAGATAAACTAGAAATGATACACAGGAACACAGACACTGGTGCTTCTTATTAAAAATAATAATAAATGATATAATGATATTTCTTTTCATGGGATAGTTGAAAAGATCCTGCAGATCAGCCGATAAATGTACTGATATTGATGTTGACACTGATGTATTATCCAAGCCTAATAACCCATAACCTAATGTGAAGACGTCCCATCAGCCCTTTACATGTGATCTGATGGTGTGTTGTAGGCGGCCTGCACCATGCATCTGTGCGGATCGCTGGGGATAGTGTGTACAGACATCTGAAACATGAGGGCGGCACACACAGGGTGCAGAGGATCCCTGAGGTGGGCCTGTCCTCCAGGATGCAGAGGATCCACACAGGAACCATGACTGTCATCGTCCTGCCACAGCCTGTAGAGGTACACTCAGTCTAACACTTACAGGCCCAACAAGCACCTGTCCCTGTCAAAGGTACTGGGGGTGACAGTGGTTAAAGCAGAGGTTCCCTCACCAAGTTTTGTCATTGTGTCCTTTACAAACATTGCCTAGTATGAAAGTAGTGTGCACTGAGTGATTGGTGGTGGTTGGAGGGGCTGATGGTGCAGAATGACAGCCTTGCTTCTGTAGTGTGTCAAAAATATTGGAAATCTGATACTAAAAATAGTGTCAACATTAGAGCGTCAATTAGACCAGTGTTTCCCAAACTGTTTTTCTGGGGACCCATATTTTAAAAGTCACAAACCTTCACAGCCCAAGTCAATAGACATTATTCATAAATCACAAAGTAAAAGTGGATTTGAGCATTATTGAACATTAATGAGGATATTTTCCTGTTGACTGACTGATCATGTCTCTGAACAATTGGTATTACTCAAGTTTAAACAATAAAAACATTGAAGCAGCAATAAAAGGATCTAAGTCGAATATTTGGGCATTAAATGTAGAACATTTCCTTTTCTTTTCAACATTCAATTGAACCAGCAAACCAACCAACCAACAAAATAGTCAATAAAATAATTACAAAAAGATTAGAAATTATACAAAACATGTCTTAACATTTATAATGAGATAGGTGGGCCTGTCTGTGTATTTGTAGTGTGTTCCAGGCCGGGTGCAGGAGGAGAGCGCAACACGCACATCTGTATCAGAACTGTATATTTCAGACCTACAGGTAGATACAAGGTGACCCAAAACAAAAGGTCTTCACCTGATCTTCATCTGAGGGTCGCGACCTAGTCTTTGGAAAACAATGAATTAGACAATCTTCTCTACAAGTTCTGTTACAATGTACAGTGACTGAATAGTTAGAATTTCTGCAGACTGAGAGATGAATGTTCATGCTTTGTGCTGTGGCTGTGTTGCAGTTTGACGTGAGCATAGAGCAGAAGGACCTGCGCGTGGACACGTTCAGATCCAGAGGAGCAGGAGGACAGAGCGTCAACACCACCGACAGTGCAGTGAGGGTGGTGCATCTGCCCACAGGTAAGACCACACTGCACTGTGCTTCTGTGTGTGTTTGGGGGATTCTTTTAAAGGAGACATATTGTGCAAAAGTCTATGTTTAAGAGCTTTTAACCAGGTTTTAATTGTTTCCCTGTCATTAGTTTAGTCAGAGTTCACACGTCTTGTTGAAATACTGAAACCTTCACACTGTTTGCGTAGGTATTTCAGCCGAGTGTCAGCAGAGCCGCTCTCAGCTCCAGAACAGAGACACGGCCATGCGCGTGTTAAAGGCCCGACTGTACCAAAGCATCATGGGGAAAGAGGCGGAGCAGAGGCACACAGCCAGGAAGCAGCAGGTCAATAAGAGTTTTTAACCATGCTTTAACCTTGTTCTCTGGTCAAAAGATGTTGTAGTCGTGGTATTTAGTTTTGTAAGTGCTTGCGTCATTTCTCCTGTTTCTGATGTTCTCTACCTCTGAGAAAAGAAAAGAAAATATGAAATACCTATGTCAAGGTCACCGCTTGGTTCAAAAGGCAGGGTATGTCCAGATTTCTACAGACTTTGATATATTCTCTCACACCAAGTCTTTTTCATAACAATATTTTGAAGTAGGTTTGTCACGATAACAATTTTATAAAAGAATTAGAACTTCGCACACATCAATTACTTGAGATGGGTGCGTTGGAGGAGAGGGAGCAGCCCAAGAACATGGAGAAAAATTCCGCACACTGTTTTACTTGAAAATTGTGAGATTTATTAGGACAAACCTTTGCCTGATGAAGGGCTAGTGCCGAAACGCTGCACAGTTTGTCCTAATAAATCTCACAATTTGCAAGTAAGAAGGTGTGCGGGATTTTTCTCCACAATAACAAATTTTGAAATGTGATATAATGCTGAAGTAATTACCTAATTTGAAGGGTTTTACATGTTGACATGTGGCCTGCTTAGTTAATATTTAACATAATGAATCGGTAATTTTACACCTCTATTTTCTCACTTTAAAAGACATTTCATCATAATATCAAAGCAGAGCTTTTCTTTCACTGTTTCTCTTCTGGTGTTTTGTGCGCTCTCAGGTGGGCAGCCGCTCTCAGTCGGAGAGGATCCGCACGTACAACTTCAGCCAGGACAGAGTCACTGACCACAGGACGGGTTACACAGCCAGAGACATCAAAGTATGGATTTAACAGTCTGCTGTAGAATTATCCTCTAACTGTCAAAATGCAGATGTTTGACCTGGTTTATAGTTAATATCTCTGTAACTACTGGGCCTGTCCAGGTCCTCTCTTCTCTCTCGAGTTTAAACTAGATGTGTCATTACTCAAAAGTTACAACTGAAAGGATGTTGAGATATAAGGGTAACGTGGCAGATTTGTGGATCTGTCTTTAAAACGTGGGACCTATAAGCGATTAAAAGGGAAGCTATAGCACAGCCTCATCTCCTCCTACAGATGATCAGAAATGAATTTAATTTGACATTTAATTCATAAAACTGTGCACTGGTGTTCGATGAATATTTCTGTCAGCAATTAGGTTCACAACCTTGCCAAATAAATGTTTTGATTTTAAATGCGGCAACATTGAAACATTTACGAAGAAGGCAATTAGTTCTCACCTTGAAAGTGAAATACATATTAAAACTGTTTTTGTTTTTTTCTGACAGAGAAGACATTGAACATTGAAGTTCTTATTTCATATGGATATACCCAGTAATTACAGAGATAATATTGTGATGTTCTGTGTGAGACCAGTTGGTTTTGTGTGTTTCAGGAGTTCATGAGAGGAGGAGAAGAACTTGATGATCTGATCCTGAATGTTCTGGAACATTCTGAAACGGAGGCTCTGTTGGATTTAGTCGAACAAAGTCTCAAAGAAGCCACGTGTGGGAATAGTGCAGAAAAATAGAGCCTATGTCATTTATTTATATTTTTGGTGATGTATATATTACATAAAACCAATTAATGTTTGTAAAATAAAATACATCTAAATAAATCTAAGTTGTTTTGTTCTCTTGACCAACGGTAACACATCACCCCTGCCTAGACCATTACCTGCCCGTTACTTCCAACACCTACTTTCCTTGTTTACTAGGGTTATTATAAGTATCGGAAATCAGTTCCTAATCGATAATAAAACTAGTATTGTTAGTCATTCTCACCTTTTTGTTGAAAATCAAACACCTAAACAGGACATGATCACTCATATTGATCACATGCTCCTGAAAATGTGTAGTTTAAATCCATTTTGTATTTTTTTTTAGGTTTTCAGACAGTTTGAAAACATTTTGACCACGTTTATTATGTGTGGATTGTGTCATCGAGGTAACTGCTGAACATTACACCATAGAAATGCACGTAGAACACCCTCAGCGTTTTGTTGGAATCCTAAAACATTTTAATGTACACTTCTTATGTCCAAAAGCCAAAGATGTAAAAATACGAGATCATAGTTTCAGAGGAAAAATAAAGTCTTGGAGTAGAAGCCAAAATAGTCCACAAATGTTCTATAGGTTTATGTGTCCTGTTCAATCCTCATCGTCTCTCTGCCGTAGACTTCGAGATTTTCCGTTTTGAGTTTTCTTCTTCTTAAAGGTGACTGGGGCGCTGCCGGCACTGTCCCCTAAAGATGTGATCACACGCGTCTTGAATTTGTGCTTTGGCTCTGGAGGGATTTCTACAGGTATGCTCTCTTCTGCCACTTGGACCCGAGGCAGCTGCAAGTCCACGCTGGCACTACAACACAACAGAAAATAAGAACAAACTGATATGAGTGACAGGGACGACTGCTCATTTCAGATCAAATACAGGCTACTGTAAGTCTTCTTAGACCCAGTAGCATAAAACTCCCAGTACACGCTTTTCCAAAAGAAGGTAAAGATGTAAAACACTGAAAACCTGCAGTGTATTCCAGAAATCAAATCCTGGTTTTCATCTAATCTTCTAAAGCTCAATAGCAATAAGACCATCAATAAGTCCACCATCAACAAAACTCCCACTTTCTCCATTTCCATTGACAATTCTTCCATCTGTCTTTAGGACAGTTCTTTCTGGACAGTTTCTGGACAGTGCACTTTCAGTTTCAGAATCACATATTAACAATATCACCTCCTCCAATATCACCTCCACCTCTCTCCAGCTCTCTATCCCCTCTGCTCCTCCTCCTCTCTCCAGCTCTCTGTCCCCTTCACTCCTCTGCTCCTCCTCCTCTCTCTCAACTCTGCTTCTCCTCCTCTCTCCAGTTCTGTCCCCTCTGCTCCTCCTCTCTGTCTTCTCTGCTCCTCTTCCTCTCTCCTCCTCTCTGTCCCCTCTGCTCCTCTTCCTCACTCCTCCTCTCTGTCCCCTCTACTCCTCCTCCTCTCTCCAGTTCTGTCCCCTCAGCTCCTCCTCTCTGTCCCTTCTGCTCCTCCTCCTCTCTCCAATTCTGTCCCCTCTGCTCCTCCTCCTCTCTCCAGTTCTGTCCCCTCTACTCTTCCTCCTCTCTCCAGCTCTCTGTCCTTCTGCTCCTCCTCCTCTCTCCAGTTCTGTCCTCCCTCCTCCTCCTCTCTCCAGTTCTGTTGATTCACTCCCAATGTTCAAATCCAAACTCAAACCCCAATTATTTAATTTCGCCGACCCCCATTAATGTCCTGTTGTTTTAGAACCTGTCCTGTACGGTTTGATTGTTTTTAATTATGTGTTTTAATTGCCGTTTGTTCAGTATCCTTGAGTGCCCAGAAAGGCGCCTTTAAATAAAATGCATTATTATTAACATGAGCTTCAATGAACTAGTCGAAAAAAAACTGCATGTGCAAAAGTATAGTGACTTTTAAAATATGTCCTACACAGCTCAAATCTTAATGTATTCTACAAAAGTGTCCAGTCCAAAGCTGCCAGTGCGAAAAGTAGATGATTAGTAAAAAGTCATTTTTTGAAAGACAAGTCATTTATTTTGACCAGCCTAGTGTAGGTCTATAATCTATAAAAAATACAATATGTTATAGAGTTAAAATGTTAAAAGTCAGTTATTCAATCAAGTTGTGTCTGTCCCACCATCACTAGCAGAGCATGAGCACTTACTAAGGGTCTTTCTGCACTTTGATGCGCTCCCAGGTGCCATAGGGGTTGGGAGGTCTGAATCGTCCGGTGGGCGTCTCCTCTGCTTTCTCCTCCTCTGGTTTCTCCTCTGACACAGCTCCTCCTTCCTCCTGTCCGTGCTCCTCTTCACTCTCTTTAGGAGCCTCATCAGGAGAGTCAGACGTCTGCTCACAAAGATCAGCCTCTGCTTTCCTTTTCTGGAAGTACAAACGCACTTACTTAGTGTCTAACATTTAGCATTCTAAAGTGTTGCGTGACTCATGACAGATATTTACTAGAGGTCCCTACTGTCCCTAAAAAAAAAAGTAAACATGTCATATGTACATTAAGAAGGAGGTATTCTGCAAAATTGACTTTTTAGAGCAGGGGTGTCAAACATACGGCCCGGGGGCCGGATCCGGCCCTCCAAGACCTTTAATATGGCCCTCAGATGATTTTCTACTAAAATATTTAAATAATACCTTCTATTAAAATATTGGTATTTTTTGCGTCGCTTAGCATAGCAGCGTCTCCAGCGCCTCTGTGCGTGGACGCCTCCCACTAGAGCAGCACAAATAAAGACTTGCCTCTTTATTTTGTCCACAGCAGGCAATAAAATTGTTATTATGTAGCAAATACACGCCAATGCTTTCACAGGAAAACAGCGATACCTCCAATTATCAATACCGATGTTCCCTGTTAATACCACAGGCCGTCCTCATCCCAACTTATTACCAAGTTACCAAATACTGTTGGTGTAAAAGCACCCTTAAAGGATGATCGTTTTAACTGTTGAATGTGACACCCTCATCAGGAAAATGTCAAAAATGAGAAAAGTGGAGCCGAGTGCAGGATTTTCCAAGAAAAATTGACTTACTATTGCATTTTTAAAAAAGTTTCAGGTTGTTCATAATATTATAATATTTTGTAAAAGAAAGAGTTCATCAATTAAAAAAGATTTCTGTAATAGATTTGCATTTCTCTGCGCAAATATTTGAACTTATTGCTATTTTTGGGGGATATATGCCATGGGTTTTCTGATTCGGGGCCTTTGGGATTAAAGTAGGCTGGATACGACCCCCGGACCAAAATGAGTTTGAAACCCCTGGATTAGAGCTTCTACCATGTTCTACTGTAGTGTTGTTCAATCATCAAAAACATGCCTGAAGAGATTTTAGATGTCATCCATATATCTTTGGTAATCTAGTGATCTCTCCTGAACCCCCCTTATGGTTAGCTATACAAACCCATCTGAAGCTCAGCCCACAAGCTTACGTCACCCATGCTGCAGCACAACCATGTTTCATAAATATACAAAAGCATGTACAAAAACAATACACTACAACTTCACAAACCTGATAAGGCGTGCGCATGTGTGTATGTTAGTCAAATGACGATCTAAATATATTCTGTGTTACCAGTTCATACCCCCTCTTCAAATTAATCAACAATATTACGAGCCTACTACTTTTTGCTTACCCTGAATTGTATTTTGGGGACAGAGGACTTGTTGCTGTCTGCTGGGTTAGCTTCAGTCTCTGTAGATGTCTGCTCAGTCTTCTCCTCCTGACCTCCTGCCTCTGGACTGTGCACTGGGTTTGGGGGCTCCTCTTCACCCTCTCCCTTTTCACTGGACCTGGCTGCATCACTGGAGCTAGAATCTGCAGGCTTTTCCCAACTCGACTCTGAATAGAGTTGAAGAAAGTAGAATATGCATTATCGGAGGTGTTATGTTTGTAGAATGAGTACCAAGTGACTCTGACTGTACCTCCTGTCACTGTGTTGTAGTAATATGTGTAACCTTCTGGGCTCACAGCTTCTGTCCAAACACCTGCTGTAGGAGCCTAACAGAGGAAAAATAAGGATTAATACAAACCAACAAAGGCATTTGAAGTTGCTTTCAACAGGAATTAAGTGATTAAAGACTTAAGGTCAGGTCTGTGGAGAGGCAAGCACATCTTTTTCTAGGTCCTTTCTTAGCCATAAAATCCCCTGTAATTGATTACATGTAATATCTGATTTTTATTTCGAGTTTGTGCCAAGATAGAAACAATAATCATACATACTACATGCACACTATAAACAACAGAAAAGGACATTTCTCGAAAAGGAGTGGGAAGAAGAAAAACTCAATATAAACCCACCCCTGTTCATTACATTTATATACCATATTTTCCGGGCTATTGGGCGCCCTATACACGAGTCCACTCAGGTGTCCCAGCACGACTTCAGTAAACTACAAAGCCGCACCACCTGCAGCGCACACAAACACACACGAAGCAGACAGTGACTGCACAACGAAAAACACCCACAGACACACTCATCACTCCACGCCGACGAGGAACGGAACGGAGGAACGAACCGAAAAAGTGAGTGCAATGTGCCACTTCTGAACAACTGAACAACTGAGTCACCGTGAACGCCACAAACAAAGTCCCACTGACCCATCCAACTGTTGTGTTTCCTTTAAAGTCTGGTGCAGTTTATTTGTGAAAAAAGTTCGAAAACAAACCATGCCATAGACCATAGACACAGTGCGCCTTATAATCCAGAGCGCCTAGTAGCCCGGAAAATACGGTACACAGTATATACAGATACATTTAATGTTATACATTTCAACCATCTCCCAGAAAAAAAGTAAAAAAATAAATAAATAAAAATGACTACTGGACTGGACAGGCCATGTCTCATGTGAAGCTCAGAACCTCCAGAATTCCCACCCTGAGTTGTAGAGGCTGCACTAGCACTGACTCATGATGCTGCAGGTGCTGGGGTTTAGGGAGAGACCATTCACATCAGAGAGAGGCTTTTTAGGTTTAAACCAACTGGATTTCCGGACTGAAAATGGCAACACAAATGAGAGACTCATGTGAGGCTCATTCTGCTTTCTGATTGGATAATCATCTTGAGAACCATCACATCAAATTATGACATAAATAATAAATTGTCCATTATGTCCAGTGTTTTTGTAACTAAAAATAAATCAGCATTCCAACTGTTATCAATAAAAGCCAAATTTAAATAAGAACATGTCAAATTACAAGTCATGCTTATGGAATTTAAACTCTAAATGACCCACAGTTACATAAAGACCTAAAGTTCACAGAAATTTTGGACAAATGCATTCATTAGACTACTGAGTAATAAAAAAAACGTAAAATTCATCAGCCCTGTTTATACTAGAGCATTAAACTGACATACCTGTGCGCTCTCTGCTGTTGCTGTATAAGGCGTCACTCCTGGAATATCTTCTGGTTTGTCCCATCGAGACTCTGTCATCAACAGTAAGTGATTAACACATGTCTGCTGTGTTCACATTAGCTTTCAAATGTGAAACAGAGGTACTCCCTTACCACCAGTGGCTCTGTTGTAGTAGTACGTATACCCTTCGCTGGTCATCCCCTCCACCCACAGCGATGCTCCCGTGCGGGGTCTCGGCTGGGCAGGAGGCCTGGGATGTCCTCCTTTCTTCTGGGGCTTCTTCTGCATGGACTCCTGCCTGAGGGCCTGGGGCTGTTTCGGAGCCCGCACCGTTGGCACAGGTTGGTATGTTGAAGTTGTAGAAGTTGTTTCAGCAGCTGGGCCAAATGCTGGAAGAAAAAGACAAATATTAGAAATTAGGATTGCCATAATTACTGTATTTTCTGGGCTATTAGTCGCGCTCTTAAGCCTCCAATCGCATCAAAAAACGACTGCACGCTCCACAATCCAGAGCGCCCTATACACGAATCCACTCGGGTGTCCCAGCATGACTGCAGTAAACTACAAAAGCCACACCACCCGCAGAACACACAAACATACACGGAGCAGACAGCAACCGCGCAGCAAAATACATCCGCAAAACACACTCATCACTCCACGCCGACGAGGAACGGAGGAACGAATCGAAAAAGCGAGTGCAATGTGCCACTTCTAGACACAACTGAGTCACTGAGAACACACCGACAATCCGTTGGTCCCAGACAGCACCCTCCCTACACACCACAACTGAACAAAGCCCAGAGTCACCGTGAACGCCACAAACAAACAAAACCACTCACCCATCACACTGTTGGGTTTCCTTTATAGTCCGGTGTGGTTTATTTGTGAAAAAAGTTCAAAAATAGACCATTTAATGATGGTGCACCTTATAATCCAGATCGCCTAATAGTCTGGAAAATACAGTACTGTATAGAAAAAATAATACTAATCGAATCCAACACTAGAATTGAAATTAGATACTCATTTCGATACTAAAAAGTCACATTCACAGGACAGAAATGTGAATATTTTTAGAATGATCTTGAGCTATATCAGAAAAAGTATAAGACCACATATACTAGTATACACCCATGGACCAGTATGGAACCTACCTGGACCACTGAGGGATTACAGAGTATCAGAATCGGTCTATTCCTCAATAATGAAAGTTGGAAATTTTTGGAGTTTTTGAAACATTTGTATCGTTTGTAACACTAATGGCTATAGGCTGACACAGACCTGCCTCCCGCTCCATCCGTTTCAGATCTTCCTCATAAGCTTTCATCGCAGCCTCCTCCATGGCAGCGAACTGTTTAGACGCCTTCTCCTCCTGCTTGGCTTTCTGTATACTTTTCTTTTTAATCTGAAAAAATAAACAAAACACATTCAGTGGTTCATAAACGTTTCTTCTACACTACAGACAGACTTTTGAATCCACAAGGGTCATAATTCAAATATAGCTCAGAATAATACAACTCTCAATCTATGGGTTCAGAATGATGAAAAATTAAGACTGTTGTCATAGCGATCAACAGTTTTACGACAAAATATCAAACATGTTTGATGGTGATAAATCCTCAAAATGTTGCCTATATCATGAAGCTTAAACTCAGAAATTAATGCAAATCGAGTAAAAACTGAATCTGAAGGGGGAAAAGTACATTAACTAAAACTTTGCATGATACTAGTATATGCAGACTTTGTAAAAAGAAACAAAATGGTAAATATTAGGGCTGCATGAAAAGAGGAAAAAGTAGTAGAAAGTACTTTTAACTCTTGAGTAATTTGTTAGAACACTACTTCATAACAAAGGAGAAATTCAATTTGTCAACTGAACAAAAGGTTATTTTGTTCGAAAATGTGTCACAGCTTTCTCCTCTGCCATGGATTATAAGGGGAGACCGGGGCAGTGGATCAGAAAAGTTATTTTTCAGCCTGTAACACAGGCTAATGTTAGCATGGTTTCTCTCTTATTATAAGTAAGTAATGCTGTGTGTTGTCCATAAAAAATTGCATTACTAAGTTTCAAATAACTGCTTCAGGTCCTTACTGACAAGCATTTAAATGGGAAAATGTTTGGATTCCCCCTGCCCCTGTACCGGGGTGAATCAGTACATGGGGTACAGTGGATCAGTTCGGGGCAAAATGGAACAGACAGAGTTGAGGCATAATAAAACAGACAAAGTTAGATTTAATCACCAATAACATTTATTTGAATACAGTAAATTTAATAAATGCTTATTTTTAAACCTGGAAAATTAATGCAAACATGTGCCAAAACTGTCCCAAATGGCACAGATTAGGTGTCTGTCTGAACTTTTTTCATATAAAGATGCATAACTTTACTCCAGTTTGCTTAATACATAAAAAAATTTGTACACATATTGACCACATGTGGTTCTTGTGAAATGTTGTGTTTTTGGGCTTACTTACATAGGTTTTCACAGTGATCTCACAGTGAATATTAGAATTTTGTTATGTCCTTCCAAAAAAAATTGTGTTTCAATTTCAATTTCTTGTACTCAGTATTACCCAAAATTTCACCACCACAGTAATCGACAAGATCTTACCTTTTATATGACACCTTGTTTGGCCATGTAGCCCATGTATTTGCAGTTTAATACTTTAAAATATCATACATTGGTAATTTCGAGAATAAGGCCTTGGGGCTTAAGAGGTTTTAAACTATCAGGCCTTAATGTAAAATGAAAAACCTAATAAAATAACATTTTAGAATCCTGAATGAATAGACAATTTATCTGATCTGTCATTATATTAGAGTCAACATAAAGTTAAAAAACGGAGTGGGGCACAGTGAATCACAAGCAAGAGTGACCCACTACGCCGAAATGAACTCTTTTTAGATCAGATGACCTTCTTACCAAATGACCAACTGTTGCATAGAAACTACATGTGCTTCACTTTCATCAAGGTCGCATGCTCGTGACAACACCTGAATTACAAGTTATTCCTGGATGAGCTCTACATAAAAGCAAATATCAAACTACCTCAATATTTTACTTCTGATGCTGAAAAACATAATTTCACTCACCTTTTGCCTGAATCATTTCCCCAAACATTCTATTACTGCCACCACCAAGGAATTCCCTTTGCATAAAATAAAAATATAACCACTGATTCACTGTGCACCGGTCTCCCCTTCCTGGACAACTGAGGGATTTTACAAACACTACTTTGTTCATGTACTTGAGTAACATTATTTTTGAAGTAGCGTCACTCTTATTTTAGTGCACATTTTGGCTACTCTTCCACCGCTGATGATGTGAGGTCATTAGTTTCGTAGTTTTACGCAGAGATAGCATGAATGGTATTACAAAAACAACAGACATAAAATATAAATACCTCTGAAATTTTAGCTGCAACATTTTCCTTGTGGTTCTTCCCTCTTTCGTGGAAATCGATACTCTGTGAACCAAAAGCTTAGGTCAGCACCACACAATGATCAGTTTGTATAAGATATATTTTATTTTAGAGTACTCACGGGTTTATTGTCCGCGATCCAGCACTTACAATACTGACAGAATTTCCTCGGTTGTGATTTCCAGTAATCAGCCCTGAAAGAAAATAAGAAAATAGTGAAGTAGATGAGCATGTATTAAACAATTAACATACAATAATCATGAAGACTTCTCCTATATCTTATAAACTACGTGCAAATTGTTATTACATTGTGTTTTCTGTCGTTGAAAGGGGCGGAAATAAGAAATAGATCAACTAAAACCCCCAAAACGCCACTTGGAGCATTTCAGAACCGCACGACAACAATGGCCACTAGTAATGACGTCACAGTTACGCGACCAGTAACATGCGTGAGTTTTTTTTTTTTTTTTTTTTTTTTTTTTAAGATCATTATTAATTAAATTGTTTCATAATGAGTGATTTTCAAAAACATTACGCTAAATAAAAAAAAATAATAATATAGTTGAAGCTGAAAAAAGATAGATTACAAAGACAAACTTGATCGGAGAGGGAAGGCTTGTGTACATTTGTGATGGTTTGGCGACACCATGTGGAAAATTGACGTTACAATTTAAAATTTAATTGAATCATTTTAAATTTAACTGAATCGCTTTAAATTTAATTGAAACATTTTTATTACGCATTCGTTGAAAAATTATTTACTCAGGACAATACTTCAACTGTGTAATCCCATGTGGGCCCATTGTATTGTTTCTGGGAAAAAAATAAAAATAAAAATAAATAGATAAGATAAGATATGCCTTTATTAGTCCCACAGTGGGGAAATTCCAGTGTTGCAACACGCAATTTCAGAACAGCAGGAAAAGGTAACACAGATAATAAATAATAGCTTAAAAATAATTTAAAAATAGACTTAAAATAATTGCACATGGATATAATTGACTGGCACATGTTCAGTGTTAACAGTGTTTGTTGTAAAGTCTGACAGCAGCAGGAAGGAAAGACCTGCGAAACCTCTCCTTCACACAGCGAGGGTGAATCAGTCTGTCACTGAAGCTGCTCTCCAGAGCAGACAGAACGTCCTGCAGGGGGTGAGACTCATGGCCCAGCATAGAGGTGACCTTAGTCAGGACCCTCCTGTCCCCCACCTCCTGCACTGAGTCCAGACGACAGCCCAGGACAGAGCTGGACTTCTTGATGACCTTGTCCAGCTTCTTCCTCTCCCTCTCTGTGATGCTGCTGCTCCAGCAGACCACACCGTACAGGATGGCTGATGCCACCACAGAGTCATTGCGTTCTCATAATAAGAACGCAAACTGAGGTAAGTCATGGATATTAAGCAGTGTTGGGGAGTAACAGATTACATGTACCAGAGTTACGTAATCAGAGTACAAATTATGAGAGACTGTATTCAGTTACAGTTACTGTTTCAATGAGTGGTAATTGGATTACAGTTACTTGGTTGAAATGAATGGATTACACAGAGGTATTTTCTTTTTTTCACATTTTTATTCTTATTCTTATTATTATTTTTTTTTTTTTCAGTAATTCCACTCATTGCTGGACACTAAACCAGGTCTAAACCAAAACTAAACCAGATCTAAACCAGGTCTAAACCAGGTCTAAACCAGGACTAAACCAGGACTAAACTAGGTCTTAAACCAGGTCTAAACCAGGTCCAAACCAGGACTAAACTAGGTCTAAAACCAGGTCTAAACCAGGTCCAAACCAGGTCCAAACTAGGACTAAACTAGGTCTAAACCAGGTCCAAACCAGGTCCAAATCAGGTCCAAATCAGGTCTAAACCAGGTCGAAAACCAGGTCGAAAACCAGGTCTAAAACCAGGTCTAAACCAGATCTAAACCAGGTCTAAACCAGGTCCAAACCAGATCTAAACCAGGTCTAAACCAAGACTAAACCAGGACTAAAGCCAGGTCTAAACTATGTCTAAAACAGGATTTAACAGGACTAAACCATACTGCGTGGACGTGTCTCCTCCTCTTCTATTAATAATATTTTTAATTTGGTTCAGTAAAGTCTGGGCTTTTTATTTTCTTTTAGCAGATAAAACATCTTATGTTACGATATCCTGGTCTTTGTTTCTCTACAGCACTGAAAAAAAGGTCTGAGAGGGGTTGCTCAAATTGCAAAAACAAATTTGACAACAATAACATCACTTTTTTACGTTTCTCTGTCAAGCATGTTTAAATCTTACAAAGGTCACTTGATTGTGGCCGATGTTAGACCTGCAGGTTTTAATCAGGTTGAGGAAACATGACTTTATTATAATCTCTGGAATTCTCCTCCCCAAAACTTTTGGAGGGAAAATTCAAATGTAACAGGACACAGGACAGTTCCAGGAGCAGAGGACACACAGTGTGGAGCAGGAGGATTATGAGAGCTGATCTGGAGGTAAGACTTTTTAAAGATTGTATTATGTGCTTCTCCGGCCTAGAATGATGTCATTGTTAAAACATATTTGTGGTGTTTTATTTGAAATTAGAGTTAATGTAAGGACTCCTTGAAACAAATTGTCTTTGACTGTCCATCTACAAGAGTGTGACAGTTGTACTCAGATTTGAATGTGTTTGTTCCAGAGTCGTCTACAAACAAAGAGTGACGTCCAGAGCTCTGCTGGAGCTGTGGGGAAGTTCATGAATGTTACAGCTGATGTTTCAGAAAAAAGGAAGAAGTTTGAGAACCAACAAAACACAGAGCACAGATGAACAAAGTAAGTAAACCAACTAAAATTATTTTAAAATTTTTCAAAATTAACTTCCTATTGAAACAGTTATGGTGTTTCTACAGGGTGATGTGGCACTTAGGAGACTTTATACCAGATGCCCTCCCTGTTACTGTGTTTAGAGGAAGAAAAGCAGCACACGGTAAGTTTTGTTTCTGCAGATACACTTCTAATGTTCTTGTGATTCTGTTCTGGTCCGTTATTGTAGTAATAATTGCTATAAGTGTATTTAAACATGTAGAACAGAGTAGATCATCAGAATGTGATCATCATGTGTTCTTCTGTGTCCACAGGCAGAGACCAGAGCTTCTTCACTGGAATAAATCTTCACACTGTCCAGCTCCAAACTGTGTGTCTCTGTCCCTGTGCTCTGTGTGTGTTTGATTCTGTTTAAGACAATACAGATCTGTAGAAAACTAAAGAATGTTTTTGTATTCTTTTACAGAATTAGATCAATTAAATTAAATTATACATACTTATACATTTCATGATAAGGTAACATGAGATAAATATGCATATTCAGCATGATTTGTTCAAACTTCATCAACATGAAAAAGTGATGTTCATGTTCTGAGATAAATATGTGTAGAGGGGTTCGAAAAAGGTTTCAAAGCCTAAACATAATTTTATTGCGTGCAACCGCTTTCCATAACTTTTTTACGCAAATCCAGCAACCTTTTTTTTTCAGTGAGCAAATCAAGTAATCCAAAGTATTCAGATTATGTTACTCACTTTAAGTAATTTAATGGATTATGTTACAAACTACATTTTGGGGTATATAATCTGTAAGGGAATACATTTTAAAAGTAACACTCCCAACACTGATATTAAGAAGGCTATAGTTGTACTGAGTCTTAGTGTTGGCCCGATGCTGGGGTGACCAGAATTTCAAAATTAAAATACTACTCGCACATCCATGGTTTGGGTTGGTTGGTAATAACAGAATTAATTGTGAAGTGATGTAGTCCTGCATCACTCAAACAGTGAGAACTACATTCATACGTACTCCATACAACTGTGCAACAACTCAACCCTTATTATGGAACAGATAACTCTATGCCCTGTCAATAATCATATCATTACTGCACTGTCTTCCTCTGACCTCTGTGATTTTATATTTTATTACTTATCTTTCTATTTTCTATTTTGACTTGTATATTCATTTATATAATTATGTCTTATTTGACACCTGTCTCTTGTTTTTCTTTGCTACTTAGTTAGACTTTATTATTACCATTTATAAATCTCTTTACTCTTTATTACATTATATTGTGATGTGTGAGGTCCTGTGTGCAAATAATTTCCCTTGTGGGTCAATAAAATGTTGTTTAAATCCAAGTCTAAGAGTGTGTATTAATTAAGTAATATTGTTCTGCGCTCGGCACGAATGTGAGTGACTATAGTTACATTTTCTTTGTGTTTTGTCAAAATCACGTACAGAGGATCATTCTATCATAAAACAGTTTGCAGTTGATGCTGAGACAGACTGCATTATGTTTCTTCTATTTTGAGACAGATAATGCCTTGTTTGTGATTTCAAAAGGCTCGTACTGGACAGAGCAGGTAACAAATGGCGACCTTTTACACCACCTCAGCCACATAAACCTGGAGTGTCACCCCCACAGTGAGTGTAATTAAAGTATATACATTCAACTTTACACCAGAGGTCAGTTTCATACAGAAACATTTACATTTTGAAAATGTAATGGGTAAATGTCATGAAGAATTGTAGTTTGGGGGGGAGTGGTTACTGTACTGTAGAATCTCTGCTCTCCCAGACCTTCCTCCAGGTACTGTTGGCACGAGCACCAGATCCCACCAGCTGCTCTTCCTCCTCTGCTGCAGTGGGCATGGGTGTTGTTTGTGCCTCACGCTGGAGAAGAGAGATGATCTTCTGGCAGCTGAGGGCAGAGCGTAGGAAGGACTGAAGGCTGTCGTTTCTATACCGCTCAGCTATCACCGCTCCTGCAGTCTCCTCTATCTGCTGGCTCTGGTGTAGCCCACATCTCCTGGTATTTCCCAAACTGGAGGATGTACTCTCCCAGCACCTCAGATGGGTCAGAGGCATGTCCTCCTGTCACAGTCTCTTCCTTCACAGGGGCTCTGCGCTTCCTCAGGGACAGATCGTCCTTGATCCTCTGGGTCTCCTCAGAAGGCTCCTGCCACAGGAAATAAAATGAAGTCAAATAAACAACGTTTTTCATTTTCTCTCCAACGACAAACTAATGTGTTTAGAAACAGTACATTTATAGCCCTCACTTATACTACATGTATGTACATCACTACTTTAGTATTCATTTCACTGTTACTCTATTAGTTTGATTGTGTACTTACAAGGCCAAGCTTTTAGTATTGGCACCGCCAACGCATTTGCAGACAGAATTTTTAAATGACTAAAACATATTAGGTCTCTTTTCATAAAACTCACAGAATATCAAATGTGAGTAGTTCATTCGATTTTAGGTAACACAGAAAAGTACTACAGGACTAACTAATGAGCAGATTGGTCAAAAATAGGGACACCTGGGACATTTCTTGTATAAAACTGGGACAAATCACTGGTTTTGTATCATTCTAATGGGTCAGGGGACACAGGCTCAAAACTGTCTCGGACAATAGGGACATTTGATCACACTCCCCTATGCAAACCATGGACCATACAATGCTAATAGAAAAATGAATGTGTCTGTATAATTTTTATAGGCCTTGTTTTTCCCGTGTTTATTATGCGGTCCCATATGGTCTAGCGGTTAGGATTCCTGGTTTTCACCCAGGCGGCCCGGGTTCGACTCCCGGTATGGGAACGTTACTTTTCCTCTAGTGAACTTGATTTGATACTGCCAACACTCACTTTCAGCATTATCATCATTATTATTATTTGAACTATTTATTTTTGATAACCTTGAAAACTTGATAAAAGCAAGAGCGTTCCCATATTGCGTCATCAGTGAGAGACACTACGCATGAGCCGTGCGACAGACAGAGCGCTTGACTGACTGACCGGGGTAAATCCTGAGCCGCTTTGCCGCTGTCTGCACCGGTGATCCGAGGTTCGACCTGACCCACCGCGGTGCCAGAGCTCCGGAGCTGCCCATGAACAGCAGCACCATGGCCGCGTCCTCACACCGGATCACGCTCGGGCCGTTGGTCGCCGCCATTGACCAGGGCACCAGCTCCACACGGTTTTTGGTAAGGCTAAAGAGAAGCATGACAGGACATGGGCGGGGGTCTGACTGATCAGGGGCAGATCAGTGTACTTATTAGGGTGACCACACGTCCCCTTTACCCTGTGCAATCCCAGGTTTGAGCTCCGTGTCCTTTATCCCAGCAGATTTATCCAAAACCAGTGATTTGTCCCAGTTGTATTCAAGAAATGTCCCAGGTGTCCCTGTTTTTGACACATCTGATTCCTACCAACAGTAAAGAGAAACCTAAATCGTTTCTTTAGGTAAAATACAGAAAAGCTGCTTAAAACTGACCAAAACACTAATCAATTGTGACTATACTGACTCACATTAGTCTTGAGTAAATTATGAATGGGCAGTGTTGGGAAGGTGACTTTTAAAATGTATTCCCCTACAGATTACAGATTACATACCCCAAAATGTAGTTTGTAACGTAATCCATTAAATTACTTAAAGTGAGTAACGTAATCTGAATACTTTGGATTACTTGGTTTGTTTTAGAGAAGCAAAGACGAGGATATCGTAACATAAGATGTTTTGTCTGCTAAAAGAAAATAAAAAGGCCAGTCTTTACTTAACCAAATTAAAAATATTATTGATAGAAGACGAGGAGACACAGTTTTAGTCCTGGTTTTAGTCCTTGTTTTAGTCCTGGTTTTAGTCCTTGTTTTAGTCCTGGTTTTAGTCCTGGTTTAGTCCTATTTTAGTCCTGGTTTTAGTCCTATTTTAGTCCTGGTTTAGTCCTGGTTTAGTCCTGGTTTTAGTCCTATTTTAGACCTGGTTTTAGTCCTGGTTTTAGTCCTGGTTTCAGTCCTATTTCAGTCCTATTTTAGTCCTGGTTTAGACCTGGTTTAGTGTCCAGCAATGAGTGGAATCACCAAAAAAAAAAAAAAAAAAAAAAAAAAAAAAAGGGATTTAGTCCAAAATGTGAAAACAGGAAAATACCACCATGTAATCCATTTATTTCAGCAAAGTAACTGTAATCCAATTACCACTCACTGAAACAGTAACTGTAACTGAATACAGTTACTCATAATTTGTACTCTGATTACGTAACTCTGGTACATGTAATCTGTTACTCCCCAACACTGTGAATGGTCCGAGTACATAACGATTTTTGCTTAATTACACACTCGTTTCATAATTGCATTATTACCAACCAACCCAAACCAGGCATGTCCCAGTTTTTGACTTTGAAAATCTGGTCACCCTTAGTGTACTTACTGTTTGTGCAATGTGTGGTCACTTTTGTGGAGTGCTAGACCATCTAATTATTTGCTTATAGTGTTTTATTTATTTATTTATTTATTGCATGCAGTGACGTAAAGCAGACTTGAATCCTTTAACTGTAACAACATACAAATTATGGTTCGAAACGCTAATTCTACATTCACAAAACAGCCCCCACAGCGGAGTGTTTAAGCCTCGTCTTAAGACCCACTTTTATTCTGTGGCTTTTAACACGTGAGTTGTGTGGTTTTGCTTTGATTATTGATTTGGCTGGTTATATTGTTTTAAGACTGGCACTAGCAATACACCTCTATGTTGTCTTTGTGTTCTGATCTCTCTGCAGCACTTTGGAAACTGCTTTGTTTGTAAAATGTGGATTTGGACAAAACATCAATGTTTTTTAAGGGTAGCGACATTGTGATTATTTGTAGGCTACCCTTGTTTGAGAGATTGCTCTAGACGTTTTGGTCTTTGGTTTTAATTGTAGATTTATACTCAATATTAACATTTGTATATCTCCAAAATAACAATAATGAATGACGTTGGCGATATGCACGGTTCATGTACATTTAGAGTAGTACAATACATTTCAAGTAGTACAATTAAAGTCATCCACCAGAAATCCACCTGTCACTCATCAGAGAATGACAGAGGCCAATACTTTCAGTGACATCACCCTGGGGATGTTCTACATGTAACTCAATGGTGGAATGTTCAGCAGTTTCAATGGTGACACAATGCGAACACTGACAAAATGTTTTAAGGTCGTCTGAAAAGCAGCAAAAATACAAAATGGATTTAAACACACAAACACTGCTGTTGGATTTTCAAGTGACTAAAGGGCGAAGTATAGTTCTGTGAAGACTCAACGCACTCTGCAGCCATCGCCTTGTTGCCATTGTTTTTGATTTATGGATCTACATCGAGGTCACTTTAAGAGTCTAGGATTTAAACCTGGCGTTTGTGTAAAGTTTAACATAAACCATCTCGAATGATTTGACGCTGGAACGTAAATTGGTCTTAACTGAAAAAGTGTTGGTTAATGCTTTAGCTTTTGATTGTAATTTTTATGTGTGAGAGACTTGTTTACGAGCACAAATCATCTCATCTGCTGTAGTTCAAACTAAAGCCCCCCTTTCAGATGAGATTGTGTTCAAATAAAACTCAGAATAAAGTCTAATAGAGCTTATGACAGAGTAGTGCCTACAGAAGTAAATTGTTGAGGAACAGTGTGTGTTTGTGCGTGGAGCTTAGAGCTGAATGGTTTGGGAAACACAGACTCCCTCCTCAAATAAAGGCCTAATGTAATTTTTTGCAGTTTTTTTTTTTTTTTTATGTGAATCAGAGCTTTGTGAGAACTTCCACCACTGGTACAAATTTCAATTTCCTCAGTTGCACGGTTCATGACATATTTGTGAATAATATTGTTCTATGTCAAGAGCGTGACATGCGCTGTTATATAAACACACTCCTGAAATACATAATGGTCTTTAAGGCTATGTTGAGACTGCAGGGCTTAATGCTCAATTAGGATTTTTTTTTGTGAAATCCGATGTTTTTGCGAGGTCATTCACATTCCAAGTTAAATGTGACTTGTATGTGATCTCCTGTGTGAACATTAAACGGCCCAAAAGTGTCCCGCATGTGCACTGGAGACACAACGACATCAACCGCAGTGAGCGTGCTCTGTGTTTACAGAAGTTGTCCAAACATGGACGCAGCATTGAGCACCTGGAGATTTTAAAGTTCCTCTCGTACCGGAGCCAGAACATGAACAACTTACTTGTTTTAAGGAGGAGATTGAGAAGGAGAAGGACGAGGTTTTTGGCCCTGGCGTTTTGTGGGACAGCGGCAGCGACGTCCGTTGAAAGGAACATGTGGATGTGGAGACGGAGCCAAGAGTGGTGAGTGGTGATGTGCTTCACTTCAGTGACACGGAGTTCATTAACAATTTTCATATGATGATAAGAACGTTTGTGTACATTTGTGAGAGCCTACTTGTGCCACTCTCGCAGGAGGAAATACATCTTTTGCGGCTTATTTCCGTGACCAAACGCTTCGGGCTGTATTGGCTTGCAACCTCTTTGGGATAGTCAAGTCCACCGTGTGATAACATGTAGGTGGCTGAATGCGCTTTGGCCGTTCAGACTGAAGTCACATGTCAAAAGATCAGATATGTATCGGTTTTAGGAGCACATATCCAAGTGGCCTGGGTCACATTTGAAAAAATCAGATCTGTGTGGTTCAGACTGTCATTAAAAGATCAGATACAGGTCACATAGGGGCCAAAAAATCGGATTTGGGTCACTTCAGGCTGCAGTGTGTGTACGTAACCTTAATATCACATGTTCTATAGAGAATCTGGACGAAGATCTGTTTAAAATGTCTCTGTCACAAGGCCATGATCAGAAAATGATTCATCGTTTTAAAGTCATTTTTGGTTTTCTGTTAGATTAGGGTTTTCAAAATCAAAAACTGGGACACCCCTGGTTTAGAGCGGCTGGTAATATTAAAATTGTGAAACGAGTTTGTAATTAAGGAAAATTGCTCTGCACTCAGCCCATTCAGGACTTATTCACAACTAATATATGAGTCAGTACTGTCATATTTTCTTAGTGTTTTGGTAATTTTTAAACAGCTTTTCTGTATTTTACTTAAACAAATAACAATTTGTCTCTCGTTACTGTTTGCAGGGATCAGATTGGTCCAAAATAGGGACACGTGCGACATTTCTTGTATGAAACTGGAACAAATCACTGGTTTTGTATAAATCTGCCCTATGCTAGACAACTGATGTAAGTGTTAGTGTATCATTTCTTATCTCATATTATGTTTTAGTATGAAAACATGATTATATTCTACAGTTTTCAATATTTAAAAAAATGAAAAAGATGACATAAGCCATTATTTTAGTAAGTTGTTGCAGTTGTGGTTAGATTTACATTCATGTTTTAACATTAAGATTCTGTTCAACGTTTGTATTTTAAACACATCCAGAAGAAATGACAAAAAGACTGAAATCTGACCTGACAAACGAATACAAGAATCACATTTCAGAACATGTTTGTGCAGATCTAAAGTACAGGGTTAGCAGTTTTCAAGGAGAATAAAACAGGAAATTATGGTACATCAAAATTGCAGCCTTTTTAATTTCAGTTGTGTTTAGTTTTGCAGCCTTAACAGAGCTGTGTTTAACTTAAAATCAGTGACTTTTTGAGTATCGATACCTGCTGAAATGAGTATCTAATTTGGATATTACAGATTTTTGTATTGATTAGTGTCTGATTTTTGATGCCTTTAAACCTGCTTCCTCCTGTGATATTAGGAGCTGTTTATTTCCACTCCATGGAACTTTGTCAAGTGGCGTTTGAATGCAACTTTTCTTGTCTTGGACTCTCACATATTTAGAGCATTAGTGTTTGGGTGTGACTCGTTGGTGTAAACGGTCAAAATTATAACTCACGAAGAGTGTTTTTTATTATCATCATGGTAGTGGAATCGGTATTGAGCACCGAGCAGAAATCCAGTTTAAAATCTTAGTATCGCAACAACACTACCATCATAACATTTGAGATTTGTTTCATAATTGTCACCTAGCAACCATAATGTTTACAAGGACCAAAACTTGTCTCATGATTAGACAAGTAAAAATAAATTATATCACTATTATTTGGTTATATCAGGAGTGTCAAAATCGGGGGCCATCAGAAAACTCATGGCATATAAACCCCCAAAATAGCAATAAGTTCAAATATTTCTTTTACAAAATATTATAATATAATGAACAACCTGAAACTTTAAGAAAAATGCAACTTCAACACAATGTTTTAACATGAACTTGTATGTAAATAGGAATAAGTCAAATTTTTCTTGGAAAATCCTGCACTCGGCTCCACTTTTCTCATGTTGGACATTTTTCTGATGAGGGTGTCACGGTCAACAGTCAAAACGATCGTCCTTTAAGAGCGTTTGGAAAGAGACAAGTCTTCATTTGTGCTGCTCTGACTCTCACAGAGGCGCTGGAGACGCTGCTATGATAAGCACCTCAGAAAATTAACAATATTTTAATAGAAAATATAATTCAAATATTTTAGTAGAAAATCACCCGAGGGCCAGATTAAAGGTCTTGGAGGGCCGAATCTGGCCTCCGGGCCGTATGTTTGACACCCCTGGGTTATATGAAGGTTTAAACTAAGGCTGCGCAATTAATTGAATTCTGATTGCGATTTCGATTTGTGTGTCAAACGATCTCCAAACTCATATGGTTGAGTTGAAATGATTTAAAGCTTAAAGTTTATTTTGTTTATATATATATTTTAGTTTATATATAATTTATTTTGGATACATTTATGTTTTCTATGCCTTATTTCCTGCTCACAGTATAGTAAAATTAAGGTAAGGTTCATATTTGTAGCCGATATTTATTTGCAATTTGAAAGTTTTGTGCAAATTATCAATAACAAAGTGTTTTTTTGAGAGAGAGAATTGCTGAATAAATGCATTGTGTCACTAAAAAATAATCGTTTGAATAATCGTGATTTTTATATCGACCAAAATATTCGCGATAATGATTTTTTCCATGATCAAGCAGCCCTAGTTTAAACTGTTAGAAAAAATGCTTTCATCGTGTGTAAAATATCTGTAGGTACTGTAGACTGCTGTACTGTTTTACAACTCAATGCTACTTCTTGTATTTTTGTACTTTTCTTTTCAACTTCTCCCAATAAATTGTCACTTAACTGATGTAAAACTATGATAAATATTGACTACAGTTAGTATCTCACTCTTCAAACCAAGTCAGAATTAGAAAAACCTGTCATGTGGACTTTCCTAAACCGAGCCTTTCATTGGGCCATGGTTGGTGCAAGAGATGGAACGAGACACAGTTTTCACGAGACGAGTCTGGGTCCACGAGAACAAGAGACAAGACGAGATTTGTACATAATTTGTGGTAAATAGTGCAGTCCATTTCACAGTTTTGGCTTCAGTATTTTTATCTATTTCATGGAATACTTTAGCGGTCAGTGTACTATGGCTTCTTTTTTTGTCCAAGCCAAAGGTAAATTTGTGCGAAAAAAATCTCACAAGTTCATTTTTCTCATGTGTGCACGATCTTGTGGTACGAGATCTTGTCCCATCTGTAGTTGGTGCTGGGATATTTATAAGTGTGATAAAGTGCTAAAGTCCTAGGTGAGGTTTGTGTTGTGAACAGCTGATGTGACTTGAGTTACAATTGTGACGCTCTAGTCGAGATGTTTCACAGTAGACAGCTGTCTGTACCCAGATAAGACCGTTTCTCCATGGCAACCAGACGCAACACTTCACATTTAGGGACGTATAATATGAGAAATAATGACTGTGTTTGAAAACTATTGCAACCACTCAACTTTATGTAACAGATAATACTCCCTACAACTGTACAACTCACCTTTATGTAACAGATAATACTCCCTACAACTGTACAACTCACTTTTATGTAACAGATAATACTCCCTACAACTGTACAACCAGTCACCTTTATGTAACAGATAATACTCCCTACAACCTTTATGTAACTGATAATACTCCCTACAACTGTACAACTCACCCTTATGTAACTGATAATACTCCCTACAACTGTACAATTCACCTTTATGTAACTGATAATGCTCCCTACAACTGTACAACTCACCTTTATGTAACTGATAATACTCCCTACAACTGTACAACAAGTCACCCTTATGTAACAGATAATACTCCCTACAACTCATCCTTATGTAAAAAGATAATACTCCCTACAACTGTACAACAACTCACTCTTATGCAACAGGTAATACTCCCTACAAGTGTACAACAGCTCACCCTTATGTAACGGATAATACTCCCTACAACTGTACAACAACTCACCCTTATGGAACAGATAATACTCCCTACAACTGTACAACAACTCACCCTTATGTAACAGATAATACTCCCTACAACTGTACAACAACTCACCCTTATGTAACAGATAATACTCCCTACAACTGTACAACAACTCACCCTTATGGAACAGATAATACTCCCTACAAGTGTACAACAGCTCACGCTTATGTAACAGATAATACTCCCTACAACTGTGCAACAACTCACCCTTATGGAACAGATGATACTCCCTACAACTGTATGATGCTAGCTGTGGGCATGCTCTGTCTGAAGCTTTGTTAAGGTTATAATCTGCTTTTTATTTTAATACAATCTGACCATAAAGAACTGATTTTAACTGGAACTACAACAGGTGAACTCATTTGTGCTGTTAAACAAGTCTTTTTTTTTTGTTTGTTACTTTCACCTTTTTGCTGAAAATCAAAAACCTGTGGAACTGCTCAAGTCTTCTGCCGTTGACCCGTGTGATGTTGGTCATATGTTTGTTACATTCACGCTGCTTTCTTTATTTTTTCTAGGTATTCAATTCAACAACGTCAGAGCTGCTCAGCCATCATCAGGTTGAAATCAAACAGAGCTTCCCCAAAGAAGGGTACGTTCCTCCTGTTTTACTGAAAATAAAAAACACACATTGTAAAAAATACGAATAAAGCAATATTTATTTGATATTTCAGATGGGTGGAGGAAGACCCCAAAGAAATCCTGCAGTCGGTGTACGAGTGTATGGAGCGCACGTGTGAAAAACTCACCCAGCTCAATATTGACATCTCAAATATTAAAGGTATAAAAGCCAGAGAAAATGTTTTATTAAAGATTACATATTATGCAAACTTTTTTTTTTTTTAGCTTTCTACACGATTATAACATTTTTCTCTTATCAAAAACGTACTGAAAAGATTTTAGATTTTTAGCGACCTCTCACTATTTTATATTTAGCTGTAAGATTCTGTACAAGGCTCCGCCCACAAGTCTACATCACCCACGCTCCTACACGACAATTCTCCATAAATATATACAAAAACATGATATAAAACTGTACACAACAACTTAACAAACCTGATGTGATGTGCAGTAGTTTCATTAGTTGGATTAGTTGGATATACACAGATTGTGTTGCAATAGTGCTCTGAAGGGGGACTGACATAGCACGGAGAGCAAAGAGAGTGGGGATTCAGGGCATCAAAAACTAAACTTAAGCTTTACATGATACAGTACATAGTTTTAGTCAAATATAGCATTTTAAAATCAATTCATGTTAACATGGTGATCTAAATATGTTATGTATTAGCCAGGGGTGTGCAAAAATATCTAAATATCAATATATCGTATCATTTAATGTGATGATACAGTATCGATATCGTGGGCTGCTGTATTGATATATCGAGTATTTTTTGGTTTATTTTACTAAATTATTTTGTTACAGCGACAGTTTTGTTGTTTGGTTAGAGGAAGGAAATTCGTTTATGCAACACATTTGACATTTTCACTGTTTTGATGATTAAAATGTTTGTGTTTCATATGAACTTTGCACAAGAAGTGGTTTAACAAAGACTTTTAGTATCACAGACATGATTTAGACTTTATTTTTTATTGAACCTTATCGAATCAATTTGGAAGGTATTGTATTGAATTGAAAGCTCACTGTATCTAGATATGTATCGTATCATAGCCCATGTATCATGGTATGTATCGAATCGGCAACTTCTTAAAGGTTGTATGGAGGATTTTTTTTTTTGTTTCAAATTGTCATTGAAAGTTTAAAATACCATTACAGAGACACAGCAGCCTTGTAATTATGATGACCAAAAAAAAAAAAAAAAAAGAAAATCTATCAACTGTGGACGTAGTGAGGCCAGATAAACAAATCAGCCAATAGAAAACGAGGCTCCCTCTTTATCTATTGGCTATTAGGTTGTCAATCAAACTCCCTACGTTTCTACTGTAATGCCGGCGCGCGGGGATTACGTGGTTTATGCAGCGGTTCTTAGAGGTTTTTTCAAACTGTCGCTTCCTCGCAATTCGCACAAAGTTTGTTGCGATGGCGGACGAGAATCCACGACCCGTTCGCCGCAAAAGAAAGTCCGTTTTTGAGGTCGCTGAAAGAAGAAGAGAAGGGGAAAAGGAGCAAAGCCAAACGGAGGTGACTCTTGGAGATTCCTTTCAGTGATGGTGCGACTGAAGCAGACAAAAGGTCTAAAAACTGACGCATCGGTCGCTAAAATATTTCTAGACAGGTCACTTCAACAGTAATTCTGAACGCGCACTGGCTGTAAACAAGCGTGATTTCTAGAGTAAAGAGGCGGGAGGAGGTGTTTCTACTGAGGAGCTGTGGAGGAGGACGGTGGTGTCACACATGCACAACATTTGAAAAATGACTGTTGCTGTATTTCACTTCCCTTAAAAAATCCTCTATACAACCTTTAATGATACCCAGACCTAATATTAGCAGTTAATACTAAAAAAAAAAAAAGTGACTGAAATATAAAATCTACATCTGTTAGAATATTTCAGCTGTAAGTCCCTATGGAGCTGTTTTCTTATTGCATCTGACAAGGACGCAGCGATAACTGTTTTCCTTTTGGACCAAAATAAATGACACCACAGCGTGTATGGAGAGACACATGCATATATTAATATATAAATATTAATTGAATGTTGTTTTAAACTGTGCAGCAATCGGAGTGACCAATCAGAGGGAGACCACGATCGTTTGGGACAAAGAAACCGGGGAGCCACTGTACAATGCAGTCGGTAAGTATGTGCATCATTAGTATTATGGTAGAATGGTAACTATGGTAACATGTGTTGGGTGTTTTCAGTTTGGCTGGACTTGCGGACTCAGTCAACAGTCGAGAATCTGATCAGCAAAACTCCGGGAAGAAATAAGAATCATTTGAAGGTGATTGTTGTTTTACCATTGTAACACCGAAAATGACAGTATCTTGCTTCTAAAAAGTTTTCTGAATGGTACATTTAAAATAATGAGACAAAACAGCCCAATGCTTCAATTATTTTTTCCACATGAAATTATGCACAATGGAAACTAAATATACAATAAGTTATAAGTTATAGACCTCTCCATAAAAAAACAAAAACAAGAAATGGCTGAATCTTGATTGAAATTTGATTAATGTAATATTGGTGGTTTTCAGATTTTAGAATGTGATGATGTACTTTAAGATTGGAGACAAGAGACAGAGTTCCCTGTTAATAACATTGTACTTTGTCATGAAATATTCAAAAAATGTATTCTCAAATCTTTAATGTAATATTTTCTAGCCCATTAACTTGCTTTATTACAACAAAACTGCCCCCCATCTGTTTTAAATACTATTGGGTTATAGATGTAATGTTGGGATGTCATCTGAAACCCAGTGATATTGTGGCTGCTTTCCTCTTCTTTGCATTCTCTTCATCTCTTACTTTTTACTTTTTACCTTCTGTCACTGTTGCAGCATAAAACAGGGCTCCCCATCAGCACGTACTTCAGCGCGGTGAAGCTGCGCTGGCTCATGGACAACGTGGAGGAGGTGCACCAGGCCGTGCTCTCTCACCGCGCCATGTTTGGGACCGTCGACTCCTGGCTCATCTGGGTAAAACACATCACTCCAGCGCAAAATCTCGAATCATTTCTCCTTAATAACATTTAGTTGTGCTCGTGTTTAGTGTCTGACCGGAGGGAAGGCCGGTGGAGTCCACTGCACAGACGTGACCAATGCCAGTAGAACCATGCTGTTTAACATTCACACGATGGACTGGGACCCCGAGCTCTGCAAGTATGTGGGATTAAGTCTCAAAAAACATGATTCTTCAGTAGAGGCAGTATTATGCAAACTTTTTGGAGCTTTCTACCATGTTATAATATTTTCCATGATCAAAAACAACAGGTTTTAGATGTCATCCATGCATGTTTGAGAAATCTTACGATCTCTCCTGGGCTCTATTCGAACCTTCTCTACGTTTAGCTAAGATTCTGTGCAATGCTCCGCCCACAAGCCTACATCACCCTTGCTCCCACACGACAATTCTCTATAAATATACAAAAACATGATAAAAAACTTTACACGAAAACTTGACAAACCTGATGCGAAATTTAGTAGTTTCATTAGTAGAATGTACTGTATTTTTCGGACTATACATCGCACATTTTTTCATGCTTTGGGTGGTCCTGTGACTTATACTTAGTTGCGACTTATACACTACCAGTCAAAAGTTTTAAAACACCAAAATTTTTCCAATTATTTTTTGCAATTCAAGTTGTGCAAGTCCAATGAAGAGCTTGAAATAGTGCAAAGGTAAGAACTGAACAGACAGAGGTTAAAAAAAAAGATAAAAGAACAAAACACAAGTCCAAGTTCTGCCAAAACGACCTCAGGAAAAGTTAACAAGATGGTAAAAGTTGAAAACCTGGAGTGTCCAGCAGCAGCACAGTGTCCAGACTTAAACCCCATGGAGCTGGTTTGGGATGAACTGGACAGAAGAGTGAAGCAACCTACAAGTGCCACACATTTATGGAACTTCTACAACAGACTTGGGAAGAACTTTCTCAACAATATTTGGTTTGTGTTGTAAAAAGAACGAGCCACAAGTGTGTTCAGCTGTTCTATCTGTCAAAGGTGAACACACACATCAATCAAAAGTTTAGAATACGTTTTGATCAACAGTAAACAACAAAAAACTGGAAAAACTGTGGTGTTCTAAAGCTGTTGAACGGTAGTGTATAATAAAATATATAATTTCACGTGTTTGTTATTTTCACACTGACAGCTCTAGGCTCATGTGCCAGTATCTGCTACTCCTATTACTCCTGCACCACTGAAAAGTAAAATTTAAACACTAATTTATAAAAACAACTGAGAAAGACTAAACACAAATGCCCCCAAAAAGAAAATCACAGTTTGCAGATTACAAGCTGCAAGTCGTGAAATCTGCAGCCGAAAACGGTAATCGAATAGCAGAAAGAAAGGAAGATCCTCTAACTGCAATAAAGAAAACAAAAAAAGCAAATCGTAGGCTAAAAGCTAGAAGGCCACAGCTAGAGGAACAAGTTCACAAATTTGTGCTTGAACAACGTGCTGCCAGGAGAGGCTTGTCAACGGTGCAATTACGTCTCCACGCCCAGGTAGTTGCCAAGGCGATGAATATAAATGACTTTTTGGTGTTACGGCATGCAAAAAATGCAATTTATAATCCAGTGCGACTTATATACAGTATGTTGATTTTCTTCTTCATTATGCATTTTCTTTTGGCTGATGTGACTTATATTCCGGAGCAACTTATAGTCCTGAAAATATGGAAAAGGAGGAGAGACTCAGATCATCAAAAACAAAAGTGAAACTAATAAAACATGTTAATATGTTGTTTCCAGCAAACACAACATTTTCAAAACAATAATTCAAAGGTAACATGTTGATCTAAATGTGTTAAAAACCCTCTTTAACTTGAAGAATTAAAATCATAATTCTGATGTCTATAATTTGACATTATACACTACATTGTATTTGTCTTGTTTTCAGTTACTTTGGAATTCCTATGGAGATTTTACCCCGGGTACGAAGCTCCTCAGAAATCTACGGCCTCATGGTAAGAACGCAGGAAGTTTTGTTTAGCTTTGATACACATTTCTTTACAATAATACCATATTTGACCATTATTCTAGCCTGCAGTACTTCACTAATATACCAAACTGATTATTAGCCTGTATAGCGTGTTTAAATATATATCTGCATGCTGGTTGGACAAAGTCTTAGGCGTTACTGTGTGTCGTTGTCTCTTCTTCTCTGGTAGAAAATAAGCTCTAGTCTGGTAAGTAGCACTCGCCATCGTTTGTTCATCTAACCCACTCGTTCATGTGGTCATAGCGCCTCCCACTGGTCACGCTAACGCCACCGCATCAGTGCATTTCCAAAACTCACCCTTCACAAACACAAAGAGGGGGGGTTAACTACTAATACCGAGTACTAATACTGCATTAACCAGCACTAACTATTCATAACACATACACCAAGTTATCAGTGAGTAGTACAGTTCTTTAACATTTATTAACATGTTGTTGTCTGGATAAAATGTGGATTAAAGGAGCTGGTTTGTACTCGTCTCTATGGAGATGTTGTTACTTTGCCTGAAATGTCCCACCATAAGACATTAATCATACTGTATGTATAGCCAGGAATGGAAAAAAAAGAAAACATTAACATTTGTTACGGGACTACAGATGAAAAATAGCATTTCTGGCCAATTCCGGCATACATAAAGAAATATTCCTTAAGATCCGCTGTCCCTGAAATAAACACATAAATAAATAAACTAATAAATAAAAGGAGGTAACATTAACAGGCTAAATTACAGGTCAGATCTGTAGAGATGTGAGTTTTCAAGGTGTTTTTAAGCAACAGACGTGTACTCAGTTGTGCATGATGGCGCAGGGTTAGTTCTGGTCATTTCTGCTCTGAGGTTTTTGCAGAATTGTGCAAAAATCAATGCACTTGTTTTTTATCGAGGTATGTTTTTGTGTCTGTGCTAATGCTAATGCTAAGTTACGCCACATACTGAAATGATCTACACCTAAAAATAATTGGGTCATCTTTACAACAAATACAATTTTTGTTGTTTTGTAAGATTTAATGTTTTAGTTAGCATTAAAGTTTAAAGTTAGCATTAGCATTAGCCGTGACACCCAAAGAAGTGTTCTCCGCTCAAGTTTTCCTCACATTTGTATTTAGTATTTAACATGTTGTCAGTGACATCCACACACAGCTTCCTGTCCACTGCCTCATCTGTCAGGATTTACTGATTTTAGCGTAACCTCGTAAAAACCTCATAATCCAGGGGTGTCAAACATACGGCCCTGGGGCTGGATCCGGCCCTCCAAATCCTTTAATCTGGCCCTTGTCTTATTTTCTACTAAAATATTTTAATTATATTTTCTATTAAAATCTTGTTAATTTTCTGTGGTGTTTATCACAGCAGCGTCCAGCGTCTCTGTACGTGGCCCCTCCCACCAGAGCAGCACAAATGAAGACTTGTCTCTTTCCAAACGATCATTTTGACTATTGACTGTGACACCCTCATCAACAAAATGTCCAATATGAGAAAAGTGGAGCCGAGTGCAGGATTTTCCAAGAAAAAATACTTTTTCCTATTTGCAAACAAAATTCATGTTAAAACATTGTGTTGAAATTGTATTTTTCATCAATTCATCAATTCAGTTCATCAGTTAAAAACTTCTATCTAACTTCAGATCTATTTCTGTAATAGATTTGTGTTTCTCTGCACAAATATTTGAACTTATTGTTATTTTTGGGGTTTATATGACATGAGTTTTCTGATCCGGCCCCTTTGGGATCAAAGTAGGTTGGATACAGCCCCCGAACCAAAATGAGTTTGACACCCCTGTCATAGACATTACATGAAGGGTGAGCAGACGTCCCTATTTCCACGGGACAGTCCCAGTTTTGAGCCTGTGTCCCCTGTCCCAGCAGATTTATACAAAACTAGTGATTTGTCCCAGTTTTATACAAGAAATGTCCCAGGTGGCCCTATTTTTGTTCGGTTTGCCAACAGTAAAGAGAAACATACATTGTCACTTGTTTTGGTAAAATAGAGAAAAGCTGCTTAAAAACCACCAAAACACAAAGAAAATGTGACTATACTGACTCCCATGTTAGTCCTGTATATGTCATGAATGGTCCAAGTGCAGAACAGCTTTCCTTAATTATGCACACGTTTCACAGTTTTATTATTACCAACTGCTCCAAACTGAGGATGTCCCAGTTTTGACTTTGAAAACCTGGTGACCCTAATTACATGGCTACACTGGAAACCATCGTGTTATATTGTGTTGGAACATTCCAGGCAAAGAAACATTAGACATTTTTTATCGTGTAACCTTAAGTGTGAGGAGTGGAGCAGTGTGAATGAGGCTAAAGATAAATTTCTGCCTGCTAGCACCGAAACTCTCAAACCTCTCAAAACAATTTCTATTATAGCATTTGGAGCCCAAGACCAGTTGAGAAACACTGTTCATATTTAGCAGAGGTGTCAATATTATGATTCATATTCTGTGGACATGTTGGAAATGTGCTGGATGCTCCACGTTGCTTGTTGTTGTGGCATGCTCCGGACAGACGGATTTCCTCCTATTCAAATCTCTTCACTCTTGGGCACTACTTTATGAACGTAAAACTCGCACGTGGGGTGGAGGGAGTGAAGAGGCTTTGAAGGCTCCACTGCGGCTGGGCTCCCCTCTGTGTACCTGGTCTGCTTTATGTTATTTGGCTTCCACTGTCAAATAATATTCATGTCAGAGTTTCAGACAAAAGATTTCTTCCTGATCTGAAGGATTTGCTACGTCAATGGTCCACAGTTGTTATAGTGATAATGTAATCCAAATCTAAATATTAAACCTTTTGAATGGGGAAAGTCACAAATCCTTCAAATCAGGAAGGAATCATTTGCTGAAACCCTTGAATAGTGAGTAGCATCGTGACAAATGAGTGATGTGGACGTCAAGGTAACGGTGTTCATTTTTCTAATATTGAATAGACCTTTTTCACAAAGGACAGAAGTTTCGCCCGGTAAGTTTGTGGAACTTCCAGTTAATGGTTTTCTGTGGTAAAATGTATGTGTAAATGTGTGTCATATTCTCCAGCAGCTTCATAAATCTGGCCAGGCTGGCGTCACCTAGTGCCTCCGCACAATTTTATCTCTCTCCAGCGACTAGATCAGGAATCAGAATACACTAGATGGTTCGCCAAAACACCGGAAGTGCAAGTCCGTGCACCAGCCAATCAGCGAAGAGCCATATAATCTGTGTTGTCAACGATTCCCGAGATCAAGGATTTAAAGCAGGAACAAAGAGAATGTTTGGTGAATTTTATCAAGCAAAAATACGTTATTGTCCTTCTTCCTACAGGATTTGGGAAAAGTTAAATTTACCAGTTAGTCCTGTTAGTGGCGCATTACATACGTCACGACCAAACAGCAGCGATTGGGCAAATCATGAAAAGTACCCACCTACCATTACGCGATCAAAATCTAAGTCTGCAAGGTCAGATGGTTTCCACAAAGTGAAATGAAGTAAAACCGGCTGATAAATCAGGCTATCATAAATCTGCCCCATCACCAAATCTTCAACCAACAAGACCCACAAAGGATAAACATTCTAACAAATTTATCCACAACTATCAAGAGAAGAAAGACGAAATCTTAAAGGACACAACGATGACGCATTAGTGAACTACTGAGCAAAACGTTATGGTCACATTAATAAGTAACTTGTTCACTCAGACTGATTCTAGAATTAAAATTTAAAATTGATTTCATGATGTAAATATTGGCCTAGACAGAGATTTGTGCAGTTCTATAGATGTTCACAGATTACATCTCACATTCAAATTGCATCAAATTTATCTATCTACGAATAATATTGACATCATGAAATCGATTTTAATTCTAGAATGAGTCTGGGTGAACAAGTGACTTCTGTTTTATTCATGATCATAAATAGGGATGGGCATTCAATAAATTTTTTTTAATCGATTGTCGGGAGAATTAACGACTGATTATCAATTAATCATTAACGTTTTTTATATTACAATTTATTATCATTATTATTACTATCTGCAATACTAATCTGCATAAATAAATTCAACTTTACGACATATAAACCGTAACGACTCTAGAGCCACATCAGCCCATTTGACATTATAATGTGTTTAATGCAGATTTGCGCAACTCTCACAAAAACAAAACTTAAAACCTCATTGCTAATTTGCATAAATCAAGCGAAGAAAAAAAACAGCTCTTGTGAACTGATGCGGCACGACTCAGTGGAATACAGGTTAGTGTGACCATATTTGCGTTTGTCAAAACCAGGACACTGTACGGGGGGAGAGGGAGGTGGGGACTCTTCATCGACATTGTGCGACTCTCACCTGGCAAAACTTTTTCCCACTGGACACCGAAACATATGTGCTGCTTTATACACTGTGCACATGGACTCACACTTGTCCCGAACGCAACGGAAAGCGTGGAATTTCTTGTACAAATCATCGTTAAATACACATTTGTGCTTCGGTACGTTGCAGACTGACCCACTGTTTGTGTCTCGTTCCTTCTGATGCAGAGAGCTACATGTACAGACCTGTTTGGTCACACTACACACAGCAACCTACATTCTGTTTGTCGATTAAAATGAATGTAATCGATGAAATTCTTAATGATTAATCATCGATTAATCGACTAATCATGCCCATCCCTAATCATAACGTTAGTTTTGCTCAGTTGTTCACTAATGCGTCATCGTTGTTCTCCTTTAAGTATTCGTCTTTCTTCTCTTGATAGTTGTGGATAAATTATTCATGTTAGAATGTTTATCCTTTGTGGAGCTTGTTGGTTGAAGATTCGGTGATGGGGCAGATTTATGAAGCTGCTGGACAATACGACACACATTTATACTGATATTTTACCACAGAAAACAATTAAACGGAAGTTCCGCAACCTTACCGAGCAAGACTTCCGGCCGTTGTGAAAAAGGTCTTTTTGGCCCTCATTATTTTCACATTTAAAGTGGGACTAAACACCTAAACTCCGCCCACAACCACATTTCAGATATAGCAGCTAAACTGGACAGTGAGGGGTGGAGGAGGTTGCGGGGCCTGGAGGTATAAGTGTCAGTGTGATTGGTCTAACAGGTGTCCACACTTGCAGTAATGAGGCTGGGATGAGGACAGTCTTTTGTAATGTCACCAACTACTGGAAATTGCAGAGGCCACTGGAGCCAGCACAAACTCTGATTTAGGCGTTTTTGACCAGGAAACTCCAAGTGCACGTAGTTTCCAATGAAAAGAAATTGCCCAAAATGTCTCGAAACAGCAGATAGGGCTATTAAAACACCACATACACAGTTTAGTAGTGAAAAAGGTGGATTTAGTGTTTAGTTCTACTTTAAGTTTTAGTCAGAATTTGATCAAATAATGCTTTTTAGTTTTCTTGGTCTGCTAGACATTTTTTCTTATTCCTTGTAATCGGTTTTAAGTTAACAAAAATATTTAGACACTTATTTTTTTCTATATTTTGACCCCCCTTATGTAGTCCTACTTTTGGTTTAATTTGCATTTCATCAGCAAAAATATGCTTATAAAAATATTAGCAAACGACTTGGTAACTTGTCCACTTTTTTGAATAATGTATGTAAATTGTGTTAAAATATATTATCCAAATAAGTGCTCAGACCACCACAGTTTAACAGATGTACACTATTAGACACTTGACTATATTTTCTTTTCCCAACAGAAATCTGGAGCGTTGTCTGGAATTCCCATCTCCGGGGTAAGATTTAAAAACACTATATTTACATTTTGAATTAGAATTTGTCTGAAGTGTCTTTGTGCTGCAGTGTCTCGGGGACCAGTCGGCCGCTCTGGTTGGACAGATGTGCTTCCAGGATGGACAAGCCAAAAATACGTGAGTCTCGCTCTAGACCTGAGGTTTTTAATAGATGCAACACACACGCAAAGAAAACATAATGGTCCACATCTGTCCACATCTGCAGCAGTATTGGTATCAGTAATTGTGCGTGCGTGTATCAGCTGTAAAATTCAGTCGCTTTTCTGACAATTTACTCATAATTTGGAGCTTCACCTTTTTGCCTTGTATAGACCACACGGGCCGCGCCTCTAAACCAGAACTAAACCAGGACTAAATCAAAACCAAAACCAGGACTAAACCAGAACTAAAATGAAGAATAAACCCAAGACTAAAATCAGGACTAAAACCAGGACTAAACCAGGTCTAAACCAAGACTAAAATCAGGACTAATTTCAGGCCTAAAATTAGGACTATAACCAGGTCTTAACCAGGTCTAAATGAGGACTAAACAAGGACTAAACCAAGACTAAACCAGGACTAAAATCAGGTCTAAACCCGGTCTAAACCTGGTCTAAACCAGGACTAAACCAGGACTACAATCAGGCCTAAAACCAAAACCAGGATTTAACCAGGCCTAAACCAGGATTTCACCAGGTCTAAACTAGGTCTAAACGAGGGCTTCACCAGGACTAAACCAGGACTAAAATGAAGAATAAAACCAAGACTAAAATCAGGACTAAAATCAGGTCTAAACCAAGACTAAAATCAGGACTAAAATCAGGTCTAAACCAACACTAAAATCAGGACTAATATCAGGACTAAAACCAGGTCTTAACCAGGTCTAAATGAGGCCTAAACGACTACTAAACTGAAACTAAACCAGGACTAAAATCAGGTCTAAACCCGGTCTAAACCCGGTCTAAACCTGGTCTAAACCAGGACTACAATCAGGCCTAAAAGCAAAACCAGGATTTAACTAGGACTAAACCAGGTCTAAACCAGGATTAAACCAGGACTAAACCAGGATAAAACCAGGATTTCAACAGGACTAAACCAGGACTAAACCAGGACTAAACCAGGATTTCAACAGGACTAAAACAGGACTAAACCAGGATTTCAACAGGACTAAACCAGGACTAAACCAGGACTAAACCAGGACTAAACCAGGATTTCAACAGGACTAAACCCTGCCGTGCGGGGCTCTAGCCTGTAGTACATGTAGTGTTCTTTCATGTATTCTCTCAATACATTTGGTTTCATTTGGTTTTTCAGGTATGGGACGGGCTGCTTTCTGCTGCGAAACACTGGATCCAAGGTTAATATGTTCATTTTATTGAGCCTGGTCCTATTAAAGCTGGACTGTTGTTTCCACAGAGATGTTATTGCCTTGATCGGAATGTTCCACCATCTCTTCAGTAGTTAATGCTAGAATATCTGGTCTGGAGCAACGGTCTGCCCTTGTACACAGAGCCAATTAGAGGTGTTGAAAAATAAAAATACCTTGAATAACATGTGTTCTTACTCAGAGGCTCACCCCTTTACAGATCTGACCTGTAACTTTACCTGGTGGTCTTAATGGAAAGAGAGGAGTTTAATACCATACTGTGGAACATTCCAGGCAAAACACAAACATCCATGAAGACTGTCTACTTGAAAAGTTTTTAATAGTACTCTTAACAGATGAGAGATATACCATCTACAAGTAAAACTGAAATCGATATGCAGATTTAGAATACTGCATGCATCAAACACCACACAAAACAGAATAATAATTACTATATTTTTCTAACTATAAGTCACACCGGACTATAAGTCACACTTTTTAGGGGAAATGTATTTTATAAAATCAGAGATAAGGAACCGACATTTCCTGTGTAAAGTCAAGTTGGAGTAATAACAACAGAAGAGAGAACAACAGACTGTTAACGTCACATATGAACAGTTCTTCAGATAAACTATAACAGAAACAACAGAACAGAACAAGTTTAACAAACTCTCCATCTCACTCCAAATCACTAAATCTATTCAATTCTTCATCCTCGGTGTCACTTCTGAACAACTCGGCCTCGACCTCCGGAGGTAAACAGAGCGCCGCTCCCTCTTCTGTGTTGCTGTCGTCAGACTCAACATCAGTGCCAGTTAGAATTATTCCGGACTTTCTGAATCCCGACAGGATGGTTTTAGTTGTCTTTATGTTTGTTTAAATGTTAAATTGTTCAGTGGTGCAGAAGTAATGGTGCGATCGACTGACATGATACAGACAGAACAGAGGCTCTTTCTGCAGGAGACATGTGCAGTAGAGTGAAGTGACAGTGGTACAGGAGGAACAGGAGCATCAGATACTCACACACAAGACTAGAACCTCTCCACGCTTCACTATGAAAATTTTTATATATAAGTCGCACCTGAGTGTAAGTTACAGGAAACGCCCAAACCACGAAAAAAAAGTGCCACTTATAGTCCGAAAAATACGGTATACAGTAATTAGTCATATATTTCTGTGTAGATCCATCAAGCTTTACTTGATTAAAAAGTTTAATTTAAATACATGCATATCTGGATTTGAGTTTAACACCACATTCATTTTAGACTAATTTCCAGTAAAATGAGTAGTTTCGAGTGGGTTGAGTGTGATCTTATACATTGGAATTCCTTTTATAGCTTTTATAAGGTGCAAACTGGATATAATAATGTTTTGTAGAAGTATTTACGTAAAGGCTTGTGTCCCTCACTGTGAGTATGTGTCCTCTCTCAGCCTGTGATGTCTGACCACGGCCTGCTGACCACTGTGGCCTACAAGCTGGGCAGAGACAAACCTGCCTGCTACGCTCTCGAGGTACACACTCCACTGTACTTGTACTCAACCGTACTTGTGTCAAATGTAAATCACTTTCCCAGGCACCATGGAAACTAGAGATGTGCAAAAATATCAAAATATCTTATCATTTAATGTGATGATACAGTATTGATGTAATGGGCTGCTGCATCGATACATCGCCAACAGTATTTTTGGGTATATTTTACTAACTTTTGTTACAGAGCTACAGTTTTGTTGCCTGAGGACGGAAACTCATTTGACATTTTCACTGTTTTGATGATTAAAATGTTTGTGTTTCTTATGAACTTTGCACAAGAAGTGATTTAACAAACACTTTTAGTATCACTGCCATAATTTTTTTTTTTTGGGGTATGTAAACTGCAATCTGTAGGGGAATACATTTTAAAAGTAGCCTTCAACACTGTGTATCGTATCGTGGCCTATGTATCGAGTTATGTATCGTATCGGCAACTTCTTAATACCCAGCCCTAATGGAAACTGTCATGTCTTGTATGTTTTTTCTTCATGTTTTTTTCTGTATTTATTTTGTATCAAATTTACACGTACGTAGATGATACATTTTGCTCACTGTAAAATGCAATATTGATAAAATGGCTTCATTATAGAAACAGGTATATACTGTAGATTCTGTCCAAAACTGTACAACTGACTCCTTCTCATCGTAGCATTTCACTATTATTTAGTCAAAACATGATTACAAGACTTTAAAAGTACACGTTACTTAAAATGTCTCCCTTAAATGTCTTTGTTCAGGGCTCAGTTGCCATCGCTGGAGCTGTGGTCCGCTGGCTGCAGGACAATCTGGGGATCATCGCCTCTCACGAAGAGCTTGGTACGTGCACCTTCTGTCACTAGGGGGCAGCAAACACGTGCAAACTGTAATGGAAACTCTAATGGAGCTGTAATACACTACTATACTACTCTGTACGCAAAGTTAGGAGTGCAACCTATTGACAATTTTCTAACTTTTGTAGCTTTTGGAAGTAGTTTATTGTCAATAGATTGCATTCATGTCCGAGAATTTTATACTGTCATTTTTTTTTTTTTTTTAAGAAATATCCAAACGTATGATCCACAAATGTTGAACCTTAACCTTTATTTTACACATCTTCATAACAAATATCTATTCCAATGTTTAACAAAGACTGGGTCGTGACCCTCAGATGGGTTGCTAGAGATTTCTTTGGGGGTCACCTTGTCACGATCTGCGTGTAGGTCTGTGATATACACTTCTGATCTGTGACATTATCGTCATTCTGAATCAGTGTTTCATCAGAATCTCCTGCCCTCAGTAGGGCCAGTGTTTCTATGCTTAATCCTTTCACTACTACATATATGTATGAATTAGCATTTTCTGTGCTCACAAAAATGAAGACAAAGCACAGAAACAGACTGAAGGCTGCTCCTGAATCCTGCAGCCGGACTGGAGCGCGCTAAAAACACAGACAGGCCCAACTATCTCATTAGAAATGTTCAAATGTTAAGACATGTTTGGTATAATTTCTAATGTTTTTTTGTAATTATATTAATAATTGTATTAATATTTTATTGACTATTTAGTTCCAGTATTGCTGGTTCAACTGATTGTTGAAAAGAAAAAGAAATGTGCTACATTTAATGTCCAAACAGGCGACTTCTGGATCCTTTTATTGCTGCTTCAGTGACTGTTTTTCATTGTTTCAAACTTGAGTAATACTAACTGTTCAGAGACACGATCACTCAGTCAACAATAAAATATCCTCATTAATGTTCAATAATGATCAAATCCGCATTTATTTTGTGATTTATGAATAATGTCTGTTGACTTGGGTTGCGAAGGTTTGTGACTTTTAAAATATGTCCCTAGAAAAAAAGTTTGGCAAACACTGATCTATACAATATATTCTCTGCCATGTAATCTATTTTTTGCAGCTCTTTAAATTGACCTAGTTTTGTTTGTTGTGTTTTTGTACACAGAGAAGCTGGCTGCCAGCGTGGGTACATCGTATGGCTGTTATTTTGTCCCTGCATTTTCGGGTCTGTACGCCCCCTACTGGGAGCCCAGTGCCAGAGGGTGAGATGACCTTTTAGAATGCAAATAAAATACCTCATAGATACGTTATGACTTTACCCGAAATGTTCCGCGTTGCTTTAAATCTCTAATCAATAGTAATAAATGAGTCATAAAATACTATTTTCTCCAGGATCATCTGTGGTCTGACTCAGTTCACCAACAAACGTCACCTGTCGTTTGCTGCGCTAGAGGCCGTCTGTTTCCAAACCAAAGAGGTAATGACCACTTTATCTGCATCATCACATCTGTCACATGTTCAAAGGTCAAAGCTTTAGGGATCGAAATTATGTTTCTCTCGATCCCATGTGCACAGAAACAACAAACATCATCTCAACTCTCACAGTCACCAGAGATAAATAATAAAAATAAAACCTGTGCTCGGACAGATACCTTAAATTTCTCTTTTGTTTAGATTTTAGACGCCATGAACCAGGACAGTGGCATCCCCCTGACTCAGCTGCAGGTGGACGGAGGAATGACATCCAACCGCTTACTCATGCAGCTCCAGGCCGACATCCTGTGCATCCCCGTGGGTACGATAACAACACAGACTTTAGAGAGCTTTTTTGTGTATTTACTACATTTAAATGTTTCCAGTTGTCAAAATATTTTATTATGAAACACATTATGCAAAATACAACAATTCTCCATAAATACACAAAACATGATGCAAAACTGTGCCCAAAAACTTGACAAACCTGTTGGGATGTGCAGTAGTTTCTTTAGCAGGATGCACGCTGATTGTGTTGTGGTAGAGCTCTGAAGGGGGAGTGACTTAGAGCGCCAAAAACAGAAGTGAAATTTATAAACACAACACAAGTTAACATAAAAAGCATTTTTACATTTTATATACTAAGGGAGAAAAATAAAAACAAACATTTGAAATGAACCTAAATAAAAACAAAATAGATCATAATTTGAACACTTTAACACAAAGATTGTACTCTACTTGTTTGTAGAAGTCCAAACTACAGGGTTAGCAGTAGAGCATTGTTGTCGATACAATACATACCTCGATACACAGGCCACGATACGATACACATCTGGATACAGTGAGCTTTTGATTCGATATATTTCAAATTGATTCGATATGGTTCAATAAAAAAATAAAGGCTAAATCTTGGCTGTGATACTAAAAGTCTTTATTAAACTACTTCTTGTGCAAAGTGAATATGTCAAATATGGTGCATAAATGAGTTTCCTTCCTTCAAACAAGCAACAAAATTGCGCTGTAAGAAAATAATTTAGTAGAATATACCAAAAAAAATAGACAAGGCAAGTTTATTTGTATAGCACAATTCATAGGCAAAGTCATTCAAAGTGCTTTACAGAATAAGAAATACATTAAAATCACAATACAAACAAATCAAAACATAAATAATCATTATAAAATTTAAAAGAAAAAGAGACATTAAAAGAGAGAGAAGAGCGCAGAATAATAACTTTTCAGTCATATGCAGCTAAACAGAACTGTTTTGAGTCTGGATTTAAACAGAGTCAGAGTAGAGTCTGTCTCACATGTTCAGACTGTTCCAGGTTTCAGCTGTGTGAACCTGAAACGCTGACTCCTCGTGTTTAGTCGTGACTCTGGGCACCAGCAGGAGGTCGGTCCCTGAGCTCCTGAGAGTGTGAGATGGTTCATATGACACAGATGGACTTTGGTGTTCGGCCATGGAGAAATACTCTGTGATGTATCAATACAGCAGCCCACAATATCAATACTGTATCATCACATTAAACCAGGGGTGTCCAAACTTTTTTCATCAAGGGCAAGATGAAGCAGAGGGCTGATGAAGGGCCGTAGACTGGTGCTCAATACAGTGAATACTTGAAATATGTGCATGTTTAACATGTTAGAATGAGTCTTTATTCATGATAAGATTGTTAAAAATACACACTAATATTTAATATTTAGCTTTATCAAGGTAGACTTTCAAAAAAAACTTGCAGTAAAAAGTTCATTTTTAATTGATGCAAGGTAATTTGGGCCAATTCACCTGGAAGCCTGAGGGCCAAGAAAAAAATTGTCTGGGGGCCGCATTTGGCCCTCGGGCCATAGTTTGGACATGCCTGTGTTAAACGATACGATATATTGATATTTTGATATTGTTGCACACCCCTAGTTAGCAGCTTTGACACTGAATAAGACCCCATGGAGACACAGGGAGGGCATGTGACACATTTCAGAACATGTTTGTACAGATCCAAACTACAGCACTAGCAGCTTTTACAGAGAAGAAGATATTTAGCTGTCTGTGGAGGAAATGATGCTGCTTCAAAAACAGCTGTGACGATTTCCTAACTATGTGAAACTCAAATCAAACTGCGATTTCGATTTGATTGTGGTTCATCTTGCAGCTCTACATGCCTCTTCTGTGAGCACGCCTTGGACATGCTCCACTGATCATAACATGCTGCACTTTCACATTCTGTTTGGAGGACTTAGGAATTCAAAAGGACATCATAAGACAATGCATGATTTGATAAGGGCGTGTTATTGAAGACAGTCCCCACAATCTGATTTTGATAACTTGAGACCTTTTATTTTTATTTTCTTGACATGCGCTGACCTTTTCATGTGTGATTTGATAACACATGAAAAGGACTGGGGATATAATCAAAATAGAATTGCAGTTGATTCAGTCATGTCTAATGGTCAGTAAAAGCATCTGGTGTTTGGAGGAAGACTATTATTTGTTAGTTGGAACTTGACTTAACTTTTCTAAAAACATGCAAAAACAGAGACAGTTCATTTTAAATCGTTTGCAGTGGTCTGAAGTCATTCCTCACTTACCTTGTGCATTCTGAACATCTTAATTATTCTCTGTGATGAATTTATAAGTGCTTGTTATAACTCTCAGAGAAAACAACTAGCATTTATTTATTTATGTACTTGTAAAGGAACGGTGTGCATTAATGAAGATTAAAAATATAAATATGTAAAGATTATAGCAGCATGGCTCATTTCCATCTTCAGGCAGGTTGATGTGAAATCATCTACAGGACGGAGAAAAGTACAGCAACAACCAGAGGTGGGACCAAATCATTGTTTTGCAAGTCTTAAGTAAGTCTCCAGTCTTTGACCTCAAGTCCGAGTCAAGTTTCAAGTCAAAGACAGGCAAGTCCAAGTTGAGCCTCGAGTCACTGGTCCATAAGTTCAAGTCAAGTCCAAGTCGTCTGCTTTGAGCTTCAAGTCATTTCAAGTCTTTAAATCAAAATACCAAAATATAGCTTTGATTTTTGCAATTTATATGAATTTTAAGATAAATTGGACTTAAAAGTCATTGTAGATTTATATATGAGTATTTATAGAAGAGTTGTAGATATTAATTTAGTTCATTTTTCCTTTTTAAATGTCTTGAGAAGATCTTAGTGTGGCTCATTTCAAACAGAAAGAATTCAGATTTAAAAGTGCTTCTCAAGTGACAGGGCTCAAGTCCAAGTCAAGCCCCAAGTCACTGACCTTCAAGTCCAAGTCGAGTCCCAAGTCTTAGTCCATTTTATCAAGTCGAGTGTCAAGTCCTAAAAATAGTGACTCAAGTCTGACTCGAGTCCAAGTCACGATTTGCAAGTCCCACCTCTGGCAACAATCACACAAAAGTACATAATATCAACACACTCATTATACACACAGTTCATTTCAGACAGTTTATCTGAAGTTCAAAGTCAAGAGTTAAAGAGTTAAACAACCCCTCAATATAAAAAAAATGTAATTTGGTTAAACGTGGTGACATATTTGACCACTGAACATTGCTGTTTTAAAGCTTTAGAAACCGCTGCAGTGTTGAAAGTTCTCGTACATGAGCTGCTCTGTGTTCCATGTTTGAGCTGCTCGATAAGCAAAAGTGTCTGTCCAAAAACTTTCTAAAACTTTTCCTAAACGGCACAGAGCAGTCGTCTCTAGAGCTGCTCTTGTGCGATTTGAATTTCTTTTCACAAACTCCTTTAGAGGAGGTGGAGCAAGATTATTAAAAACTTTTAATGCTAACACACTTCCTCTTTAATCATACAATACAGAGCTTCATATTTAATTGACTGATAGATTTTTTATTTTTATTTACTTGGAGTATATGTATATTATAAGATATTGTAACATAAACACAGCTCACTTGATCAGGAGTGAAAAGAGCTTATACAATATATCTGTACTGGAGCAAGACGTTTTGCTCAAATTCATGGGAAAAATCTACACAGGCCCTTTTGTTTCTTTTCATTAAAAAAAAAACTAAAAACTAATCAAAACAAGTACTAAGTGAACGTTCCAGGAGGCTTTTGGGTTATATAAATAAATAATAAAAGCCACACCTGTGCATCCTAAACTGAACTGGTTTGTGGTTATCACCTTTTGCATACTTTTACATATAGGCTCAAGTCTACAAGGAAATTGGCCTGCTTTTCACAATCATAACCCTGTCATGATTTCCTCCAACTGTTCAGCTATTTAAACCTACAAAAACAATGTCACAACCTAGAATAACTGAACAAGAACATCATCATCAGAACATGCTTGTACAGATCTAACTTTTGATAAAAAATGTATAAAGATGATTCATTGTTCTAAGTACATATGGCAGGTTAGACAGCACATTTCACAAAACAACATAAATTATTCATTATTTATTGTAAGATTTTACTGAAAATTTGTTTTTCAGATTCAGAAAACTTTAGTGATCCCATGGGGTAATTCATTTGCAGCATTCTTAGATAGAACATTATACAGATTATAGTGCAAAACATTCTGAAAACTGTAACCTTAGAATCGAGCAATTTAATATCAGAGGGCCCAAAAGAATTAGAGAACCGGTTAGTCTTTCATACTGTAACCTAAAACCGACACCCTGAAAGCATCATAATAAAGTCAGGAGCCAGAGGATGTAGGAGCTGAGCCAGGAGACTCTTTGTTTTGCTCAGCACTCGCTCCTCCAACAGAGAACGCAGCTCCCTCAGTTTGACCCCTGTGATTTTTGAGCAGGTTTTAACAGTGTTCTGCAGTTTATTTTTAATTTTCAAGGACAGGGACTGAAACCAGCAAATGAAAGAAAAAGTAAGCACACTTTCAATAAAAGAAGAAATAAAAGTCATTAGTTATATTACAATATTACTGCATTTAAAATGGAAGGCATTACATTACTATTGCATTACTTTAAGTTACTCTCACCAAAATAACTGAAGATGCTTGCGCCCTATAATGGACTGAACCAGGACTAAACCAGGACTGAACCGAGGACTGAACCGAGGACTGAACCGAGGACTGAACCGAGGACTGAACCGAGGACTGAACCAGGACTGAACCAGGACTAAACCAGGAATAAACCAGGAATAAACCAGGACTAATCTTGGACTAGAACTTGGATCGCGCTTTGCAGAAACCCTGTCTGCAAAGTGCGATCGGGCGTCAGCTGCAGTTCGCTCCGTGGAGCGTGGAGTTCTGCGTAGGTCCTTTTGCCCGCGGTCACCTGACGGTCTACACAGGTGCGTCTCCGGTGTTTCAATGCAGCTGGTATCCTGGTGATTTTAGAGAATTTGTTTGAAGAAAAACCCACCACTTCAATCCTGGTTAAAAAAGCATTGTAACACGCATTACTGACATTAGGGTTAGGGTTAGGGTTCGGACATTTGTACCGAGTAAAATATTACAATTTTCTTATATTACTGCGTTACAGCAAAAAGCAATGCATTACTGTAATTCGTTACTTTTATAACACATTACTTCCAACACTGCTCGTTTGACATTGTTTTCAGTGTTTAGATCAAATCTCAATTTATTCTCCAGATATTGTAACTATTGACAATTTTGACAACATCACTGTGGGTGACACTAACGCTGCGGGAAGGTGCACGTCTAAAATCAATCGCCATGTCCTTAGTATTCCACAGTTGGACTGTTTTAGTGAAGTGTATAAGTGTACTTTCTGGTTGGACAGGGGCAACAGACATGACGTACACAGAGGTCATTTGAAGACACTTAAAGAGCTTTGCAGGGCAGCGTTCATTCACTCCACACTCAGTGCTGAGACGATACTACTGTGGACAACCTGCACCGTCCGACCACGCCCAACACACACACAACACTTCTGAAATGTGACAAGATCAACAAGCTTTGACAAGAGGTCCGGCTACTAGATTCCATTCAGCGCAACGTCATGTATTTTTGTTTGTTTTTCTCTTTCAGAATTTTTCTACAAACTCACTTAACTGATGTAAAACTGAACCAGATTTAAAACACAAATGAAATCAAAGTGCTCTTGTGTTGCTCTTACAGTGAAGCCGTCGATGCCTGAGACCACAGCTCTGGGGGCAGCGATGGCGGCTGGAGCTGCAGAGGGCGTGAGCGTGTGGAGCCTGAACCCCGAGGACCTGAGTGAAGTCACCTGTGAGAAGTTTGAGCCACAGATCAACCCTGAAGGTACCACGTGTCTGTCCTAATGTCACTACTACGACTTCAATCTCAAATGAAGTACTAAAGAATAGACTCGGTACTCAATACAGATTCTGATACCACGATGATAATTAATATTAGTGTTTCCCACAGACCAAGTAGTATTGTGTGCCCCCCATCCCCTGATCAGACTGCAATTCACCATCCCACCCCCAATCCCACCCCGCGTTGGACTGTGAGGCGCCAGTACAGTTTGGTCAAATCAAAATAATGTTAGAGGAAGATCTGTATTTCAAGTTTCATGTTGAGAATTACTTACCAAAACTGATGTTAAAGTTTAGTTTTAACCTGACCTTTAGATTCTTTGACATTCGGAATGAATTACAAAAAAATCTTGAGGTTTTTATTTCAGATACTTAACTCAAGACCTGCTCAACCAATATTCATTTGCTTTTGTATGTAACTTTTTTTGGTAAAACAAAATAAACAGCATAATGTAACAATGATATTATTATATATCATATTATTATGAATTATATTATTGTATTATAATAATACAAGTTAAATAAATAAAATACTATAATTAGACTTAAGAAACTACTAAAGGTACAACAAGACGACTAAATGAAATAATGAAGCAGTATGAGCCTGTGTGGTGCATATGCATGTCCTGTCAGAATAACTCATTTTATGAGGCTTTCAGAAAATAACTCCAGTGCCTGATCATAAGGGGCCTCCTTGTGTTTTGGCACATTCATATCTTGGGTTTGGGTCAGGCCAGGCTACCTCCGGACCACGCCCAGCTTCGTTACAGTTCTGAGTGTTGGGAAAGGTCTGCGTAGACCGTCGGGTGACCAGAAGTAAAAGGACTGTCGCAAAGCCCCACGGGGCTAAGCACAACCGTCGCCCGATCGGACTTTGAGGACACCCTAGGAGGAACAGTTTTCCATCCCACCGCTGCGCTGCAGGCAGAGAGAGTCGGGTCCAGAGAGCAAAAAGTGCAAGTGTTTTATCAGTGTAAGACGTGTAATCAATTTGTGGTACTCGATTTTCTTTCTGTGGGAAACACTGTAAAACTCATTCTTTAGATGGTGTGGTTGTCTTTAAATTTGTTTTATAAATAAAAATGACTTGACTTGACTTAATAATATTAAATGGTAGTACTTCCTTTTCTATTCCCAAGTGGCGTTATATGTGTGTAATCCTCAGTGGTGCAGGTAGGTTCCATAGTGTCCATGTGTGTAGACTAGTCTATGTGCTCTTCTACTTGTTCTGATACAGCTCAACATCATTCTAAAAACATTCGGGAAAGCTTCATTTCAGTCTCGTGATTCTGACTTTTTTCTTTTAGTATCAATACTTGCTCAAATGTGTATCTCAGTATCTTAGATGTTTTATAATAACAAGAACATCTCAACCATATCCAGAGAAAATGTTCTCAGGAGGATAAATACTGAACCCCAAAATAAAGTGTGCAGCTATAATTGATTGAAGCATAAGTTGTGTACAGGCTGATGTGTTTGTGTTGCAGAGAGTGAGTTCAGGTACGCGCGCTGGAAGAAGGCTGTACAGAAGGCCATGAACTGGGAGACCACGGAGCCGCTGGGGAACGGGAATGGTACGTCACCGTGTTCATATACACACTATTGGTCAAATGTTTGGACACACTAACTATCCAAAATACATCACAACCAGTGTTGGGGAGTAACAGATTACATGTACCAGAGTTACGTAATCAGAGTACAAATTATGAGTAACTGTATTCAGTTACAGTTACTGTTTCAGTGAGTGGTAATTGGATTACAGGTACTTTGTTGAAATAAATGGATTACACAGAGGTATTTTCTTGTTTTCACATTTTGGGCTATTCCATTTTTTTTGTTTTGTTTTGTTTTGTTTGGTAATTCCACCCATTGTCGGACTCTAAACCAGGTCTAAATCCAGGTCCAAACCAGTTCTAAACCAGGTCTAAACCAGGTCTAAAACCAGGTCTAAACTAGGTCTAAACCAGGACTAAAGCAGGAATAAACCAGGACTAAAACCTGGTCTAAACCAGGTCTAAAACCAGGTCTAAACTAGGTCTAAACCAGGACTAAACCATGCCCCATGGACGTGTCTCCTCGTCTTCTATCATTAATATTTTTAATTTGGTTCAGTAAAGTCTGGGCTTTTTATTTTCTTTTAGCAGATAAAACTTCTTATGTGAAGATTTCCTCATCTTTGCTTCTCTACAGCAAATCAAGTAATCCAAAGTATTCAGATTACGTTACTCACTTTAAGTTATTTAATGGATTCTGTTACAAACTACATTTTGGGGTATGAAATCTGTAATCTGTAGGGGAATACATTTTAAAAGTCACCTTCCCAACACTGATCACAACATATTTAGGAAGACGGAAGACAAAGTTACGGACTGCATATTGTTTTGGTTTTTTTTGTATTTTGAAAAAAACCAAACACCTAACCCCCCCAAAAACAACGTAAAATAAGAACAGTGCTGTCTCTTCCCTAATGAAACACAACCACAGAAACTATCCCTACATAAAATAACAACAAAAACAGGACGTCTGGACAAAACTGACAAACTGACTAAACAAAACAGGGAAAATACTACAAAAAAATAGACAATAAAAACAGGGGAAAACACAAGGTGCCCAAACACAACACACACACCTTCTCCATCAGTGTTTTATCTTTATGTTCACTACTTGAGATACGCACTGAACACATCAAATATATGAAGAAACTTAAATGGCAGTAAGTAGCAAAGAACAAAAAAAACTCCTTAAATGTGCTATAACTGTACCTAAAACAGAACTAGTTCATTTTAAACAGTTTGCAGTGGTGCATTTCCTGATTCTTGGACAATAAAGAGCATTTAGAAGCAGACATACACAGTGGACTTATTTTGACTTCAAGAGCTGCTTATACAATGTGGTAGTAGTTGTCGTAGTAGCTGTTGTAGTAGAAGTTGTACTTGTTGTAGTAGTTGTTGTAGTTGAATTTGTAGTTGTCGTTATTGTAGTAGTAGTTGTAGTAGAAGTTGTAGTTGTCACAGTAGTTGTTGTAGCAGAAGTTGTAATTGTAGTAGTAATAGTAGTAGTTGTTGTCGTTGAAGTTGTAGTTGTCATAGTAGTTGTTGTAGTAGAAGTAGTACTTGTTGTAGTAGTAGTAGTACTTGTTGTAGTAGTTGATGTAGTTGTTGTAGTAGAAGTTGTTGTAGTAGTACTTGTTGTAGTAGTTATTGTAGTAGAAGTTGTAGTTGTCGTAGTAGTTGCTGTAGTAGAAGTTGTAGTTGTAGTAGTAGTTGTAGTAAGTAGTTGTTGTAGTAGAAGTTGAATTTGAAGTAGTAGTAGTAGTAGTAGTAGTAGTAGTAGTAGTTGTAGTAGTTGCAGTTGTAGTAGTTGTTGTAGTTGTAGTTGTTGTAGTAGTAGTTCTAGTTTTAGTTGTAGTAGTTGCAGTAGTTGTTGTTGTAGTAGTTGTAGTAGTTGTTGTAGTAGTAGTTACAGTTGTAGTTGTAGTAGTAGTTCTAGTTTTAGTTGTAGTAGTTGCAGTAGTTGTTGTAGTAGTTGTTGTAGTAGTAGTGCTAGTTTTAGTTGTAGTAGTTGCAGTAGTTGTTGTAGTAGTTGTAGTAGAAGTTGTATTTGTAGTTGTTGTAGTAGTTGTAGTAGAAGCTGAAGTTATAGTTGTAGTAGTCATTGTTGTAGTTGAAGTTTTACTTGTAGTAGTAGTTGTTGTAGTTGAAGTTATAGTTGTTGTAGTTGAAGTTGTAGTTGTTGTAGTAGTTGCTGTAGCAGAAGTTGTAGTTGTAGTAGTAGTTGTTGTAGTAGAAGTTGAATTTGAAGTAGTAGTAGTTGTAGTAGTTGTTGTAATAGTAGTAGTTGTTGTTGTAGTTGTTGTAGTAGTTACAGTTGTAATTGTTGTTGTAGTAGTAGTCATAGTTGTAGTAGTTGGTGTAGTAGTAGTTCTAGTTTTAGTAGTTGTAGTAGTTGCAGTAGTTGTTGTAGTAGTTGTTATAGTTTTAGTAGTTGCAGTAGTTGTTGTAGTTGTAGTAATTGTTGTAGTTATAGTTGCAGTTGTAGTTGCAGTAGTTGTAGTAGTAGTAGTAGTAATAGTAGTAATAGTGGTAGTAGTAGTAGTGGTAGTAGTAGTAGTAGTGGTAGTTGTAGTGGTAGTGGTAGTGGTAGTAGTAGTAATAGTGGTAGTAGTAGTAGTAATAGTGGTAGTAGTAGTAGTAGTAGCAGTAGTGGTAGTGGTAGTGGTAGTAGTAGTAGTAGTAGTAATAGTAGTAATAGTAGTAGTAATAGTGGTAATAGTAGTAGTAGTAATAGTGGTAATAGTAGTATAGTGGTAATAGTAGTAGTAGTAATAGTGGTAGTAGTAGTAGTAGCAGCAGTAGTAGTGGTAGTGGTAGTAATAGTAGTAGTAATAGTGGTAATAGTGGTAGTGGTAGTAGTAGTAGTAATAGTGGTAGTAGTAGTAGTAGTAGTAGTAGTATAGTGGTAGTAGTAGTAGTAGTAGTAGTAGTAGTAGTAGTAGTAGTAGTAGTAGTAGTAGTAGTAGTATAGTGGTAGTAGTAGTATTAGTAGTAATAGTGGTAGTAGTAGTAGTAGTAGTAGTAGTAGTCATAGTGGTAGTAGTAGTATTAGTAGTCATAGTGTAGTAGTAGTAGTAGTAGTAGTAGTAGTAGTAGTAGTAGTAGTAGTAAGTAGTAGTGTAGTAGTAGTAGTAGTAGTAGTAGTAGTAGTAGTAGTAGTAGTAGTAGTAGTAGTAGTAGTAGTAGTAGTAGTAGTAGTAGTAGTAATAGTGGTAGTAGTAGTAGTAGTAGTCATAGTAGTAGTAGTAGTAGTATTAGTAGTCATAGTAGTAGCTATCTTTCTTTCATTTGCAGCACTACAAGGACATAGACTCTAACCCCATTTGGATCATGACCTGAGGCTGAAGTAAAAGTACTTGTAATACTTAAGCCTTTTAAACATTGACAGAATCACAAGAAAGAAAATCAGGTCATGATCAGCAAGTTTGTGTTTCACTTTAAACCTTAATCTACAAGAGCTTACTATAAGAGAAAATAAAAAAACAAAACAAACAAATAAAAAGACTTTACTGGGCTTTTTAAATTAATCATTCATCAATATCTGTACTGGGGCAAGACAAATTCCTCAAATACATGGGAAAAATCAGGTTTAAAGTTTCAGGTTTAAAGCACCAGCCTTTGCTTTGTTGACAGATTGAGCTTGATGTATGAAGAAGTCTCCTTGAAATGGTTTTCTAAAGGCTATTTTGAAAAATCTAAACTTGTTATTTGACACTCTGTCTGCTACATGACAAAGGTTCACTCATAGTTTTGAGGCCTACAGAGAAACTCTACAGTCATGAAAATAAAGAAAAACATGACATGAAAAAATGTGTCCAGACTTTTGACTGACAGTGTATAATACTAATAAACCTGTTCTGATCATTGTTTACGACTACTACTACTACTACTACTACTACTACTACGACTACTACTACTACTACTACGACTACTACTACTACTACTACGACTACTACTACTACTACTACTGTTGTTACTACTACTACCGTTGTTACTACTACTACTACTACTACTACCGTTGTTACTACTACTACTACTACTACTACTACTACTACTACTATACTACTACGTTGTACTACTACTACTACTACTACGTTGTACTACTACTACTACTACTACTACTACTACTACTATACTTACTACTTGTTACTACTACTACTACTACTACTACTTACTACTACTACTACTACGTTGTTACTACTACTATACTACTACTACTACTACTACTACTACTACTACTACTACTTGTTACTACTACTACTACTACTACTTACTACTGTTACTACTACTACTACTACTACTACTACTACTACCGTTGTTACTACTACTACTACTACTACTACTACTACTACTACTACTACTACTACTACTACTACTACTACTACCGTTGTTACTACTACTACTACTACCGTTGTTACTACTACTACCGTTGTTACTACCACTACTACTACCGTTGTTACTACTATTACTACCACTACTGCTACTACTGTTACTACTACTACTACTACTACTTACTACTGTTACCCCTATCCACTGTTACTACTACTATTACTACTACTACTACTTAAAGTGAAACACAAACTTGCTGATCATGACCTGATTTTCTTTCTTGTGATTCTGTCAATGTTTAAAAGGCTTAAGTATTACAAGTACTTTTACTTCAGCCTCAGGTCATGATCCAAATGGGGTTAGAGTCTATGTCCTTGTAGTGCTGCAAATGACCAAACAAACTACTACTACTACTACTACTACTACTACTACTACTACTACTACTACTACTACTACTACTACTGCTGCTACTACTGCTACTACCGTTGTTACTACTACTACAACTACTTGCTACTGTTACCACTATTACTACCACTACTGCTACTACTGTTACTACTACTACTACTACAACTACTTACTACTGTTACCACTATCCACTATTACTACTACTACTGCTGCTGCTGCTACTTCTACGACTGCTACTACTACTACTACTACTACTACTACTACTACTACTACTACTACTACTACTACTACTATTACTATTACTATTACTACTTACTACTACTTCTACTACTACTGCTTCTACTACTAGTACTACTACTACTACTACTACTACTTCTACTACTACTACTACTACTGCTACTACTACTACTACTACTACTGCTTCTACTACTACTACTACTTCTACTACTACTACTACTGCTTCTACTACTACTACTACTACTACTACTACTATTACTACTGTTACCACTATCACTACTACTACTACTGCTGCTGTTACTACTATGACTACTATGACTACTACTACTACTACTATTACTACTTCTACTACTATTACTACTTCTACTACTACTACTGCTGCTACTACTACTACTGCTACTACTGCTACTGCTATTGTTACTGTTACTACTACTACTGCTACCACTATTACTGTTATTGCTACTACTACTACTTACTACTGTTACCACTATCCACTGTTACTACTCTACTGCAATTACTGTTACCACTACTACTAGTCCCTACTACTGCTACTGCTACTAGTACTACTACTAATAATAATAATAATAATGATGATTTGTGGCATAGTAATGAATGATTTAACTTTCAGTATTCTGCTGCCTAAAACACTTTTAGACACTTTTAACACAAACTGATTCATACAGTTACTACGTCCTGAGTAGATACTGTAGGTACACCGGGATACTCATAAAACTGTAGTTCCACTGGTGACTGTTTGTACGTGTGTGCCTCCAGGTGAGCCCAGTATCTTCTGCAGTGTCCCTCTTGGTTTCTACATCATGGGCAGCATGGTCATGTTGGTGGGAGCCAAGTACCTCGCAGGTCAGGAGCTCTCCTTCCACAACACATCACATCACATCAAACACAGATATACACTATGTCATATGACCAGTTAAATCCAGTTATTTTTCTAAATGGAATGCGTTCACATTCTACTATTTGATGATGTGGTAATTATTTATTTTTTTATATTATTTATTTGAGCTCTCCAAAGACTTGTCATCGTAATCGCACCACTTTCTGAAGCTACTGTAAAAAAATCATTTCACATTTGTATATTTGTAGTGACAGAGAAGACGTTGAACTTTGTGCCGCTTTTTGTTTCATGTGATTGGGCTATAGATAGAGACATTAACCATCAACCAGGTCACCAAATCTGCAACCTGACGGTTACACCGCAAATTCCCCCTGAGAATTTTGACCTGTCCTTCAGCTCAGGTTAAACTAAGGGTTTTTTAAACATGATGTTACACACAGCTTAGTTTCGTTTAACACTGTAGGGAAAAAAAATAGACAAAACTATCATGCACTACTAGTGTTGCTGTACCTTTTTTAACACAATGAGTCATGCAAAAAGACAAGGAAATTGTAAACATGCCCATGTTTGCATTCAGATGGCTGCCTGTGATAGCATTACCTAACAATCCTATAGGGACACTAGAACATTGTGATGTCGTGTGGATGCAAACCTGTTTATAATTTCCTCTTTTTTTCAGCACATCTCACTTTAACTCTCCTACACCCTTTGGTACATTTTTGTACATCTCAACTTTTTTTCTTTTTAGCATAACTTTGGCCTTATTGCACCAAATAGCACCATAATTGGCCAGTTTGTGTATTTTGTGATGTATTTTTAATTTCAGTTTTTTTTTTTCATGATCACATTAAACAGTTTATAATGAAAATACATCCGTGGTCCTTCAGTACATTTTTGTCCCATTGACTTCATTCAAAATGGCTTTGTTTATGGCATAACTTTGCCAGGATATTTTTACTTTTTGAGTTATTTTTCACTCTTTGGTGTTGGAAATTTTTAGTTTTAGTGTCATTTTGAATTTTTTGATATTTTTCTTCTTTTTTTTTTTTTTTACTTTGTATCTTCCATTATAAGTTTATCAGTGGAAAGACATTTGTACATTTTAGTCATTACTGAAGGACAGAAACGTAGATATTTGAAGTTAAAGTGATATGGATGTGTTCTAGAGGAGCACCAGAGTGAACTGAATGTGTAAATTAAAATTAATTGGAAAATTAGTTTGAATTTTTTTTTTTTTTTTCCTTTTTTTTCATGCACATAATTTTTTAGATTTTTACTGTCAAAAAGGCATTTAAGGGGTCAACATTTCTAAATATTATATAATATTTGGTATGTATGATTAGAGCAGAAGTAAATGAAGACAGTGAGATTAAAAAGTTGAACACAAATCTGCTTTTTCAATGTACATTTTTGTCATGAAGGACCAAAGGTGTAACTATCTGAGTTTATGCAAAAAAATTTAAAAAGGTAAAAAACAGTGTTGGCACTATTTTATGACATCCCCAGCCTCTGATAATCCCAACACAAACAACTCACAAATTACTTGAAAGATACAGAAAAAAATGTTGTTGTTTTTTTTTTTTTTTTCATTTGACAAAAATCTGTACTGCATAAGAATATTGTGGTGTTCTTTTTTAATGTACATTTTTATCATGAAGGAGCACAGGTGTAACTATTTTAAAGGGGTGCACAGAGGTAAAAAAAAAAAACACTGCATTTGTTAAAAGATAATAGCAAACTATCTTTTGTATTCGATGCTTTTCACAACCCTAGTGCACTGTAGCATTTTCACTTTTTTCCAAATAAAAACTTCATTTGCGTGTATATTCTCTTGTCCAGGTAACACTTAGACGGTTCCTCGTGGAGAACGGAAGAACTTCTCAGCATGGACCACCACTCAGAAATGGGCTCTGTGTTTGAACATTCCAGAAGATGACTCTAGCCCGGTCCAATCCCAATCCCGAAAGGAAACCCCGGACAATCTGACCGACTACTGGGACTCTTTTACTTTCTATTTCTTTTTGCTACTGAAAATGAGGGTACTTTTTAGTCGTAGAATCCATGCAGTATTTTTTGTACTTTCGTTCTGGCTGTATGATTTCTCATGCGTGAGTGTTTTTCTACTCGTCTGTGTAATTTGCATAGACGTAACCACTTTTTTAACAGTCACGAGATGTTTTTTTTTTTTTTTTTTCTAGTTGCTTCAGGAATTTTTTTTAGAGCACTTTATGTTTTTATTTTAATTATTATTATTTTTTGAGTCACTGACAGTCGATCGAGGAAAGAATGACTACATGTTTTGGTACTTGGAAAAATGCCAGTATTGTGAAATGATTTTGAAGGGAGAAAAATGAACTTGAAACACTAGTCTAGCTGCAGTTTTTGAATTTGTACAGAACTGTTTTGTGGAAATCGAAAAACTGAAAAATTAAGTTATGTCGATGGTTATGTATGTTTTAATGCACTGAAATGCCAATTATTTAAAAGGGTAAATTGTACGGTACTTTACTTACTTTCTACAGTAATAGCATGGTAATACTAGAGATACTCTGCACTGACATCATCCTGGGGCGGGGTGGTTCTGCATCTATGTCTATGGTGGAATGTTGAGGTTGATTTTCATCAAAAATGTGAGAGTGACTAACTGAAAAACTCACTGTTGTCATTCCTGCTAAGTCAGTTTTTTTTTTTTTTTTTTGGATCAGATTGTGTTCAAATCAAAACTAAAGTCGAACTGGAGTAACAGCTTCAGACAGAGCAGTGCCTCCAGTTAGCATCACCGCCTCCTTCGGGAATCTTGACGACACCAGTTGCAAAATATGAATAGATTTGTAATAATCCAATCAAATTTTTTCATCTTCCTCTTTGTAGGACCTATTTGCAGGGTTCCCACAGTCATGGAAATCCTGGAAAAGTCATGGAAATTGAAAATGTCATTTTACAGGGCTGGAAAAGTCGTTGAATTTGAATATCTCTTTCACGCCACTACAGCGTTCTGTTAAGTTCTCATTAGGCTGTTATGATTATTTCTGAACGTCTGTGCCTTTTGTTTAAAAGAAACGACAATAAGTGAGTGGAAAGAATTAACATTTTAGATTTAGCTCTAAAAGTCTGATCAGTTCTACACATGTCTGTGCCATAAAATCATGGAAAATTCACTTTAGGTCATGAAAAAGTCATGGAAAAGTTTTGAAATTTTGTTAGTGAAAAGGAGTGAGAACCCTGCATTTGGAACACTTTTCACCATTCACGAGATGGAATACTTTGTTCCGAATTCTTAATTGCCATGGAAACGGTGCTAATTTCTCATTGCTTATGGCATTTTAGAATTTGATGTCTTATCCTGCCTTCTACTGAACATCGGTAGTGGATGAATTCGAGTCAGTTCTCCCGTTGTAAATGTGTTTCATTATGACAGTTGTGGAAAATTAGCCTGATTCTTCGATGGTAGGCAAGTACTTTTTTTTTATTTAATGAATCACTGCTGTTTGGTCGTGATGTATGTAAATCCCGTAGGAAGGAGGACAGTAACGTCTTTCCCCTTGATAAAATTCACCAAACATTCTCTTTGTTCTGGCTTTAAATCCTCGATCTCAGGAATCGTTGACAACACAAAATGTCTGTCTCTTTGCTGATTGGCTGGTGCCCAACTCACACTTCCGGGGTTTTTGCGAATTGTCTACTGTATTCAGATTCCTGACCTAGTCGCTGGAGAGAAATTAAATTGAGCGGAAGCACTAGGTGGCACCAGCCTGGTTAGTGGAAAATATGGACGCTCAAGAAAGTTTCATGTGACGTCTCTAGCTCCTGGTAATAAATCAAGCCTATTAGCTAAAATTACCTGTCGGTGACTCAGTTCTGACAGTTTGACTTTTACACGTTTAGAAAAAAAACTTCTGTCTACTGTCAAATGATGTGAAAGAAAGTCTAAATGTCACTACAAAGTTTTTAGAAGACACTTTCTCTACACAAACACAACTTAACACATCAAAATGACCAAAAGACAAATCTCCCCGTTTACATAAATCCCACCGACTTGCTCTGCATGAACTGGCCCGAGTTTGTGTTTCAGAACCCTGATTCAATTGGCCGTTCCATTGCACTTTCTCGAATTGGAGGTCAGATTTCCCCGAGTCCCGAACGCAATAGAATGCAGCAAGTTCATAATTTCAGAGTTCAGGTTCTATGAGAGAGTTTTTGAAAGAAATCTCCAAACGTATGACAAATGTCAAACCTTCTCTTTATTGGTTTGGGTTTGTACGGAAGCCGAGAGGGGTCACAACAAATACAAATGCGACAACACAACAAAAAGCCACAACTCACCAAAAAAAGCCACAACAGAAATGACTGCGGGACTCTATTTTAATGCAAAAGCCACAACAAATACAAATGCCACAATACAAACGCAAATGCCGCAACACATTAAAAAGCCACAACACATTAAAAAGCCACAATACATTAAAAAGCTACAACGAAAGTGACCACGGGACTCTATTTTAATGCAAACACCGCATCAAATACAAACGCCACACAAACGCAAATGGTGCAACACAATAAAAGCCACAACACATTAAAAAGCCACAACACATTAAAAAGCCACAACACATTAAAAAGCCACAACACATTAAAAAGCCACAACACCTCAAAAAGCCACAACGGAAGTGACCGTGGGACTCTATTTTCCGACGGACCAATCAAGCGGCAAGTGAAGAAGAAGAACTACAACGTGAAACAAATAATGATAAAATAATAAATTACTTTTACTTATGTTTCCAACTTCTTCGTTCCTTTACTTTTCACGTTGTAGTTCTTCTTCTTCACTTGCCGCTTGATCGGTCTGTAGGAGTCCCGCGGTCACGTCCGTTGTGGCTTTTTGAGGTGTTGCGGCTTTTTGATGTGTTGTGGCTTTTATTGTGTTGCACCATTTGCGTTTGTGTTGTGGCGTTTGTATTTGTTGCGGCATTTGCATTAAAATAGAGTCCCGCGGTCATTTCCGTTGTGGCTTTTTTTGGTTTGTTGTGGCTTTTTGTTGTGTTGTTGCATTTGTATTTGTTACGGCGTTTGCGTTTGTTGTGACCCCTCTCGGCTTCCGTAGGGTTTGGCTCCACAGATTTGACGTATTAATGGTTATTAATGATTTGAATTCCGTCGAACTGACAATAATGATACCAGTGTGTGAGCGAGCGAGTGGTGCCATCACCTTTGAAACAAATGAGATAAGAATATTTCATCTTTGTTCTTGAGCTCTGCCTTGAACTGTTCATTTACAACTTGAACTTTGTGCCAGTTTTTGTTTCATGTGAATAGGTCAGGATCAGTAATTACAGAGATATGAACTATAAACCAAATATAGGTCAGGCAAACTTATTCTAGTACCATGCTATTACTCTACTGCTGAGTAAAAGTACTACAAACAAGCCTGAAGGGATATGTACTTGTATGCTGAAGTAGGTCGACCTATGGAACTTTGATTTTTCACTGGTTCTTCTTGTTAAAGGTGCACAGTGTAATTTATCTTTTGGAAAGTCAGCCATCTTGTCTCCAGAGATGATACTGTTTTACCTGGAATGTTCCGCAGTACGGCATTAAATATGTGAATTGTCAAGTGTAATAATTCATACTTTACTTTATTTTTAGCAAAAACACATTCCATGTTAAAAAACAAGAGACTCATTTTGTTGTTTAAGAAGATTTTAAGTGTGACAAAGTGGATGAGGTTTATGTAAGAATCTAGGCTAGGCTAAGTTAGCATTAGCATTGACCAGCAGTTAGTGATACATGCACAAAGTGACCAGACGTCCTCATTTACCCGGGACAGTCCCAGCCTTTGCCTCCTGTCCCAGTAGATTTACACAAAATAAGTGATTTGTTCTAGTTTTACACACGAAATGTCCCAGGTGTCTCTATTTTGGACCAATTTGATAAATAGGACTAAACCAGGACTATGACAGGTTTAAACCAGGACTAAACCAGGTCTAAACCAGGACTAAACCAGGATTATATCAGGTCTAAACCAGGACTAAACCAGGATTATATCAGGTCTAAACCCGGACTAAACCAGGTCTAAACCAAGGACTAAACTAAGTCTAAACCAGGACTAAACCAGGATTATATCAGGTCTAAACCAGGTCTAAACCAAGTCTAAACCAGGTCTAAAACAGGACTAAACCAGGTCTAAACCAGGACTAAACTAGGTCTAAACCAGGACTAAACCAGGACTAAACCAGGTCTAAACCAGGACTAAACCAGGTCTAAACCAGGTCTAAAACAGGACTAAACCAGGTCTAAACCAGGACTAAACCAGGATTATATCAGGTCTAAACCAAGTCTAAACCAGGTCTAAACCAGGACTAAACCAGGTCTAAACCAGGACTAAACTAGGTCTAAACCAGGATTAAACCAGGATTATATCAGGTCTAAACCAGGTCTAAACCAGGTCTAAACCAGGTCTAAACCAGGACTAAACCAGGTCTAAACCAGGACTAAACCAGGTCTAAACCAGGATAAACCAGGATATATCAGGTCTAAACCAGGTCTAAACCAGGTCTAAACCAGGTCTAAACCAGGTCTAAACCAGGACTAAACCAGGTCTAAACCAGGTCTAAACCAGGTCTAAACCAGGACTAAACCAGGATATATTAGGTCTAAACCAGGACTAAACTAGGACTAAACCAGGACTATATCAGGTCTAAACAAGGTCTAAACCAGGTCTAAACCAGGTCTAAACCAGGACTAAACTAGGACTAAGCCAGGACTATATCAGGTCCATTTCAGGTCTAAACCAGGTCTAAACCAGGACTAAGACAGAACTGTATCAGTTCTAATCCAGGTCTAAACTAGAGGAGCATAAATTGCATTTGTTTAGCCAAAATCCAGAAGTCTGTGTTTCTATATTTAGTCTCAGATTAAACATTGACCCACACGAGTCAATGGACTATTTTAAAAACTGTTAAAAGATTATTGAGCCATAAAAACACCTGCAGCTGAATCGGTCATTTTAATGCTGTACTGTGGTGCATTCAGGTAAATTCCAGTTACATAGTGTTAATGTTCCAGTGGTTTTGTGGACCTGAGCCAGAGTGTAGCTAAGGATTAGCGTGATATGGAGTTATTTATTAAACTGTAGTCCCACACCACGTGAGCAAGTTCAAAGTCCTCCAGACATTTTACTGCTCTGTTTTTGTTTAACTGTGGTACTTGTTTTCAACACAGACGAGAGGTGGGACAATATTTAACACACTGTTCTTCTGAAAATGCAAAATTAGAATTGCAGACGGAAGTTTGTGACTAATCAAGTGGTCCTTCTGTACTTTGTGGTTATGTTTACAGTCCATTCTTTTTTTTTTTTTTTTTGAACGATAATTTGACCTCAGATAAGACATTTTATGGGTCTATATTGCATCTATTTTCTGATCTAGGTTATAATGTTGTTTCGTGATCACAAACAGACCTGGAGTTGAGTTTTGTTTCATTCTCACAAACCCTGCATATCTACACTCAGTTCATCTGTCAAACACAAAACGTTCTGTCCCAACCTGTGATGTCATGTGGTAAAACAGGCTCACTGTGCAGCTGTCAGACGTTGAAGTTACAGCTATTGTTTTAGCCTCATTGAAACTGCTTCACTCTGCGGTGCACCAGCAGATTTAAAGACTCAACTGTACAAAAGGTGAATCTCAAATATGCAAAAATAAATAAAAGCAACAACTTAAGATTCGTTAGAGTTCTGAGTAAGTCAACTGAGGCAATAAAATGCTGTTAACTTTAAAACTACCACTTAATGACATCACAAGGTAGAGCATTTTGAGCTTTGGGGATGTAGACAGACTAATGATAAAGGATTACTCAAACAAAACACAACTTCACATATGTTTTTGAGGAGGTAACAACATTATAACAAGACATAAAGCTCAAAAGAGTCAGTTTTGCGTAATATAGGACCTTTAAGAACATAGATTTATACAAAACCACTGATTTGTCCCAGTTTTATATGAGACATGTGCCAGGTGTCCCTAGTCTGGACCAATTTGATCTGAACTAGGACTAAACCAGGACTATGTCAGGTTTAAACCAGATCAAAAACCAAGACTAAATGAGGTCTAAACCAGGACTAAACTAGGTCTAAACCAGGTCTAAAGCAGGACTAAACCAGGTCCAAACCAGGTCTAAACCAGGTCTAAATCAGGACTAAACCAGGTCTAAACCAGGTCTAAACCAGGACTAAACCGGGTCTAAACCGGGACTAAACCGGGTCTAAACTAGGTCTAAACCAGGTCTAAATCAGGTCTAAATCAGGTCTAAACCAGGACTAAACCAGGTCTAAACCAGGACTAAACCAGGTCTAAACCGGGACTAAACCGGGTCTAAACTAGGTCTAAACCAGGTCTAAACCAGGACTAAACCAGGTCCAAACCAGGACTAAACCAGGTCTAAACCAGGTCTAAACCAGGTCTAAACCAGGACTAAACCAGGTCTAAACCAGGTCTAAACCAGGACTAAACCAGGTCTAAATCAGGACTAAACCAGGTCTAAACCGGGTCTAAACCAGTTCTAAACCGGGACTA